TATTTTAGGTAATAATTACCTTTATTTTGTTTTGTTCTACATACTTATTCTCTTCAGACACTCCAACAGAACTATAAAATTTCTTATTTTTTTTCACATGTTCAGACACATTAAATAATCCTTTGCCTTTTTTTAGTGAGTACTTACTGTTTTACTGTGTCTTTGTGAGGCAGGTATAGATATTAACAATCCTCACTATTCTGTGTTGAATCTGTTTCCTTATTTTTTTTTTGTCTTTTCTTTTTTGGTGCTGGGATTGAACCCAGGGCCTCATGTATGCTAGGCAAGCGCTGTACCACCGAGCTACATCCCAGCCCTGTTTCCTTATTTTTTATTTATTTATTTTTTTGCGCTAGGGCTTGAACTCAGGGCTTCGTGCTTGCTAGGCAGGCACTCTTACTGCTTAAACCACTCTGCCAGCCTTTTTTGTGATGGGTTTTTTGAGATAGGGTTTCTGGAACTATTTGTCTGGGGCTGGCTTTGAACCTGGATCCTCCTGATCTCTGTCTCCTGAGTAGCTAGGATTGCAGGTGTGACCACTGGCGCTCACTGCAGAGTTTGGTTGTTATGTATAGGCCTATAGTATTTATATGAAACAGTCTACTCAGCTTTTAGCAAATATATAGTGATCCTTGACTGTTTTTTATTTAAGAATGATATACTGCAAGGGTGAGCAGCATTATTTTTATCGAGGTTGTGATTAGGTTGGGAGCTGGCCTTTTTTTTTTTTTTAAAGTACTCCTTAAATTGCAACATGTAGCATTGACAGCTCTCCCTTCCCTCTGACCCCCTTCGTATATATATATTTTTTTTCCTGTAAAGAGGCTTACAGTTCTTGCCTGGAAAACTTTTATTACCTATTTGCACTTGGAAACTGGACTGGATCATTTAGAATGATCTCATAGAGTAGGATATAAAGTTTTACAGTATGTAAACTATAACATTTCTTATTTTCAGCCTCTGCCTCCTTCCTGCCCTGTACTCTGCCTGATCCCTGAACCCATTTGAGTGGGGGAGGATAGGTAGAAGGTACAGCCATTTGAGGAGTTTAGGAGCAGGCAGGGCAGGTAATTGAATCCCTACTCTATACTCAGACTCCTGATGTCTTTCAGCACTGTGCTTCATTCTTTCCTATGCCCAGTTGTGGGGGAGGAGGGCTCTCATTAGTTCTGTAGGCTACATTTGTTCACTTCTCTGTGTATTTTTTCTCTGCAGGCATATAGGTCTATCTTTCTCTACCTTGCTGAGTTTCTTCCTACTCTTTCATTCACTTTGTCTTCCAGATACTTATCAGAATATTTGATCTTGTTGTCTTCCTTGTTCTTACTGTTTTGTAGATGAATGCAATCTTTTAAATTCTCTTTTTGGAGGATGGGATAATCAAGAATACCCAGTAGAAGGAGGATCACAAGTCCAGGGCCAGCCTGGACTACACAGGGAGAGCCTGTCTCAAAAAACAAAAAAAAAGTAGTAGCTGGGTATTGGCTCACACCTGTAATCCCAGCTATTCTGGAGGCAGAGATTGGGAGGATCGTCCTGAGTTCAAAGTCAGTTCCACAAAAAAAATGAAGACAGGTGACACCTGACTCGACTGGAAAGAGTGATTTTAGGAAGGAAATTAGGCGGATAGATTATGCAGTACCTTATGAAACTGTATCTCTACTAAATTAATAATTGAAGTGATAAATTTTAACTTCACTATAACACTAAAAATGAGTAAATATTCTTGGATGAGAAAGCATGCCAAAAATGTGCAATGAATGAGACAAACATTTTGAAATTTTTATAAATTAAGTATTGCTCATTGGTAAAGCCACTATAAATAAACAAGGGGAAAGTTACTGGCAGAATATTGCTAAAACAAAAAGTTAATGTTCTCAACACAATAATTTGTTTAAGGATAGGTACACTCTGAGAAATAGGTCCTTAGGTGATTTCATTGTTGTGCAAACATTATAGAATATACTTCCAAACTGAGCTGTGATATCACTGTGCAGTATAATCTTATGGGACCATTGTTGGAGAAGTGGTCTGTTGCTGATCAAAACATTGTTACACATTGCATGATTATCTAAAGAACTATTGGAAATCAGTAAATATTCCACTAAAAAGTAGACAAAATTGATGTAACCACAGTAAGATAGCTCAGAAATATTGGTGAAAGTTTATTTCATCTTATATCTTCCCTCCATGTCCCCCTTTCCTCCCTCTTTCTGTGTCTGTCTTTCTCCTCCGTTCCCCTCCTCCCTCCCTCCCTTCCGCAGTACTGGTGATTGAACCCAGGGCCTCACACTTGACAGGCAGGAACTACCACTTGAGCTATGCCTTTGTCTCTACTTCTATAAGTTAGGACCAACAGGGTATAGCAAAATGGCAGTTTCATAAAAGGAAACTGGTAGGGTAAACTGTTCATCATCTTTGAAAAGTTATGGGAAAACATTTCAAATAGTTTCACTGATTTAGTATCGGCAGAGTCATTCTACCCTTTGAGATTCAACAAAAGGAAATAAGGACATAACCAGAGATGTAGCCATATAAAAAGCCCTTGTAGCATTTTTTTTTTCTTTTCCTTTGCAGCATTTTATTTTATTTGTTTATTTTTGCGGTGTTGGGTTTGAACTCAGGGCTACACCAACTCTTTTTTTTGTGTTAGGTACTTTTGAGCTAGGGCCCATGCTGACTTCAAATGGCAATCCTGATCACTGCCTTCTGAGCAGCTAGGATTACAGGAGTGAGCCACCAGCCCTGGCTCTTTACAGCATTTTATAATAGTAAAATGCTGGAAAAATCCTAGAAGTAATGTGACTAGGAATTATTTGAATGATTTTTAGTGCATCTATTTTATGTAGGTATAGATGACAAGTACATTATAGGGTAACAGTTAAACAATATTATGTAAGTAGCAAAGATAGAGTCACAGATTATAGAATGGGGAGAGAGGCAGATTCCAAATAGGACATTTCAGAACGCACTAAGTACATCTCCCCAGGACAGGAGAAGCCATATAGTGGGCTATTAAACTGGGAGGCAAAGGGCCAAACAGTGAGTCATGAATGGTTGAGTAATACTGCTGATGTCATGGTCTGCAACTGATGGATAGGTTGCAAGGTCTCTCAGGACCCCTTTTAGATTATTTTCTGCTCTTTTAGTAGAGTTGTCAAGAGAAAGGAGGTTGGTATGCATGGTTACTCAGCCATATTTAACTTAAAATATGATTGGCTTCATTAAATTTATCTGATATCTGTCTGGAGAAGGGGAAGTTGGTGTGATGGGACAGAAAGTCTTAGACAGGCTTATGTCAGTAGAACACATGGAAGGGAAGCATGCAAAACATGGGGCAAGGAAGCCTGATGGGCTGAGTGGATCATGTATGTGATGGTGTCTGTGGTACACGTCTATGCGCCTGAATATATACACTTGTGAAGGAGGGCTGAAAATCAAGCTTGTTGGCTTTGAATTCTGGGGTGGTAAGTGGTTACTCTATGCCTTGTGTTAAGCGAAGATTTGAGGGAAACAAGGTAGTTTTTTAGGAAGGGTTTTTCCCTTCCCTCTTCCCTTCCCTTCCTTTCCCCCTTCCCTTCTCCTCCCCTCCCCTCCCCTCCCCTCCCTTCCCCTCCCCTTCCTCTCCCTTCCCCCTCCCCTCCCTCTCTTCTCCCCCTCCCCCTTTCTTTTTTTGGTGGTACTAGTGACAGAACCTTACACTTGCTTGGTGAGCACTTCTCTACCACCTGAGCCATACTCCCAGTCATGACTTCTGTTTTCTACATAATTAAGTTTTTATGTCTAGACACCCAGGTAAAGGTGTTAATATGCATTTGCATAAACAAAGTAGTTGAAAGTGGTCTGGAAACAAAAATTTGATAGCTATCACTGGCTGAGAATGTGGAGGTAGAAAGTGTATCAAGAGAAAAGGAGAGTCTGGGACTGAACCCTGATGAACTCGTAACATTCATCCAGTGAAAGGCCAGAGATAAGGATAAAAACAAGTGGTGTTGCAGAGTACAGAGGAGTGAACTATGCTTTAAGGTGAGCCTTGTCAAGGCTGTTGACTGCGTGCTTGGCATTCTGGGCCCACGGGAAGGTAAAGGTGTACGCAGGATCTGACAGGCTTTTCTGATCTTAGCACCTCTTCAGAATATTTATTTTTCTGTTACCAGGAGGATGTTGTTTTGTACATGTGCTTATTAGCATGTAGACAAATGACATCTGGCACTTAAAAAAAATTTAGTAAATATTTCTTGAATGAATGAATTTTCCCCTCACCCCCCACCCATGAGTAGTGGTGAAACCTTTAGGTTTTGTTCAGCTGGTTGAGTACATTCCAGGGGATGGGTGTGTTTTTTTTTTTTTTTTTTTGGTGTGTGTGGGGGGGTTGTTGTTTGTTTTTGAGGCAGAGTCTCACTCTGTACCCCAGACTGGCTTTTAACTCTCCATCTTCCTGCCTTAGCCTCCTAAATTCTGAGATTATAAGCATGGCACTATCAGTGTCCTGTGGGAGTATTTTTTGAATTAACTATCATTACTAAAATCACCTCTTGCTACCTTCAAAACATACTTGCACAAATTATGTGAGAATTTCTTGATCAGTAGTTTTTAATTCATCTATTTTCTACTTGGCTTGAGAGGTCCAAGTAGGGAAATCTGATAGAATTCCTTCCTTCCCTTCTCTCCCTCTTTGTGTTGGGTAGGGTACATTGTGGCATTTACAATGTATCATACCAAATAGTATTTCTTTAGGCACTTAATATGTTGTAGATATTTGGCTCAGAAAACATGAGTGTCTGTCTGTGGCGTGTGTTAGGCAGTAGGTCATAGTTCTGAGTAGTTGGTATAGTCTGTGTTCTCATGGAACTTTAGACAACAGTAACCTTGGTTTTGCTTTTAGAATTTGGAAACCTTGTTGGTCATGTGTATTAACTTTATTTTTCACCTCCTTTAGAACATGTGTTTTTGGTTGCTTTTGCAAATGTTCATTTGTGTGTATGTGTTTAATCTTTAAGGGACAAGCTCTGGAGCCCAAGCAGGATGCTTTCCAAGGCCAAGAAGCAGCAGTAATGATGGATCAGAAGGCAGTATTATATGGGCAGACGTACCCAGCCCAGGGGCCTCCTATGCAAGGAGGCTTTAATCTTCAGGGACAATCACCATCTTTTAACTCCATGATGAACCAGATGAACCAGCAAGGCAGCTTTCCTCTCCAAGGAATGCACCCTAGGGCCAGCATCATGAGACCCAGGACAAATACCCCGAAGCAACTTAGAATGCAACTTCAGCAGAGGCTGCAGGGCCAGCAGGTAACCTGCCAGTCCTGTCCTTGGCTGCTGCCCCAAGTGGCTTTCCCTTTGGCCCTGCCTTGTGTAGTTGTTTTAGGCAGTGTTCCTCAGGGCTTTGCCACTGACTCTCCAACCCTCCCCAGCTAAGGACATTCCTTTTGTTTTCCCTTCTGTGTAGGATTATACTTGCACAGATGGCTCCTTGTTGAGGGGTAAAGTTTGTGTTAGAATGTGTACCTGTGTACAGGTTAAAAAGTAAAAATACCAGAAAGAATTGTTAGAAATTGTTGAAGGCTTCACAGTCTGAAAAATACTTGAAAAACGTTCTTAATATCATAATCAAATGTTAAAACTGTCTTGATTTCAGCCTCTTATTTTTTGAGACAGTCTTACTGTATAGCCCAGCTGGCCTCCAAGTAACAATTTTCTGTATAAGCCTCCTGAGTGCAGGGATTACAGGTGCGGCAATATCAGCATTTTAAAAAATGGAACCTCTGCTTTTCTAGGTATTTTATAAAACTGGAACTAGCTCTTTTTTACTATTCCAGAATAGAACTGCTGTTTTTCCATTTCTTTAATACCCAACTAATGTTTTAAAATATAATTTCTATGGTTTGTATCTTATGTGTGCTGAGTTATTAAATGTGATGGACCTAAACCATATATGTAGTTAGTGACTTGAGTTTAGAACCCAGAGCCAGAGACTCCAGTGTGTGAATATTCCTAAAAGTTTAGGTGCTTGGGAAAGCTGTGTACATGGTATCAACTTTATATCATTTCTATTCACTAAGTGTTACTTAGGAAGAGATAACAGAAGTTCAAGTACTTGGATCAGAAACCTGACTATAAGTTGAGTTCTCACTAACGCGTTCTTTAAGCCACACAGGTGCACTTTTATTTTTTGCCAGTGCAAACATGGCAGAAGGCTCCACATGCCTGCAAAAACTTTCCAGCACTCCCCTTTCTGCAGTGTGAAAGTGTACAGTTCAGTGTAAATGAGACTTCCCAGGTTAATGGGTTTAGAGATGTCATCATGACCTCACTGGGTGGTGCTGAGTTTTCAAAGCTGTTTGGGGCTTAACACACTCTGCTCACTTACCAACTTGTCTCTCTTTAGTTTTTGAATCAGAGCCGGCAGGCACTTGAAATGAAAATGGAAAACCCCACCGCTGGTGGTGCTGCTGTGGTGAGACCTGTGATGCAGCCTCAGATGAGCTCCCAGGTGAGCCTCTCCACCTGCACTGCCGCATTCCAGCACAGGGCGGGGCTCATGGGTGGCTCTCAGTTTGTGTTTGTTAAACAAATGAAGGTAATTCCAAATTTCTTGTGTAAGAATCTGCTCCATCTGATGTTTCTTCTTCCATTCTTATTCTTGTTAGTGACACAGGGCTGCTTCATTAAACCATCCGTGTTTTTTTACCTTGATTCCCCACTGATCAGTTGCTATGTTTTGAGGTAAATTACCACATTTTAGGAATTAAGAATAACACTGTAAATGTTTCTGTTCCTGGATTATGAATACTACATGCTCATTGGCTAACATTTGAAACTACAGGTATAAAGAAGAAAAAAGATAATACATTATCTGATTTTAGTGACAGCCTCTGAGACTAACTGTTCCCTGTTGTGTGGGGGCTGGTGACAACTCTTTTTCCCAGAGTGAAGTGCTAAGGTGTTTTCTTAGTGTGCAGGAGGCAGATTACTACAAGACACTTCTCCTGTGGTTGGAATAGTGTGCATAATTGTCTTTTTAAAAGCTGTGAAATGCCTCATTTTCACTATCTTAGGTTTACTTGGAAGTACTTACATTTTCTTGATAATCAGCATCCTGTATAAGCTATGCTGCTTTCCAAATAGATAATAAAAGCTTGGTTTTTGAAGATGATCTTCCTCAGCTGGGAGAGCCTAAATTGGTTTATATGTTTAGTCATTGATCATTACCATCTTAACTTTCAAATGGTTTCTCTTGTCCTCCAGCTTTTCTTTCTGGAGGTTTAGAGACTGTCAGACCTTCTGAGGCCCCTGCTTCTCTGAGTATTACCCTGCTTACTTCTTTGTCCTTGTTATCTCCTTCCCCTTCTATTGTGGGGCTTCACTCCCATTGCATCTCCTGTTGCCTTAACAGCTCAGCCCTGTGCTTATTTTCTTTTTGTTTTTTGAGATAATGTCTTGCTGTGTTGTCCAGGTTGGACTTCCAACTCTCAGCTCAAGGTGATTCTTTCTCCCTCAGCCTCAGTTCCTGAGTGCTGGAACTATATGCCTGGCTCAGAAATCTTTTATCATAAAGAACTGTGTATTTCCTCTTTGTTTTAATTACAAAGGAGGGTAGTGTTTTCTCTTTTTTACCTAATGTATTGTGGGGGAACTATCTGTATGGAGCTTGTTGGTTCTTGCTTTACATATGTAGTGGCATTCTTTCTTGGACATTGGCAGGGTTTTCTAAATGCCCAGATGGTTGCCCAGCGCAGCAGAGAGCTGCTGAGTCATCACTTCCGACAGCAGAGGGTGGCCATGATGATGCAGCAGCAGCAGCAGCAGCAGCAGCAGCAGCAGCAAACCCAGGCCTTCAGCCCCCCTCCAAATGTGACTGCCTCCCCTAGCATGGATGGAGTTTTGGCAGGACCTGCAATGCCTCAGGCTCCACCACAGCAATTTTCATACCCACCAAGTTACGGTAAATTTGACAGAATATCTTCTCCCAAAGTAACATTACTAAGGACATGAGGTTTTCCAGGTCTGTTCATGTCAGCTCTTTATTCCTTGTTTCAGAAGAGAATTAAAATTAGTAAAAAAAATAATGGAGAACAAAAATGTTTGCAGTACCCAGGGAATTGAGGCATATGTATTCTATCATAGTTGAGTATTTTTTTAGATCTTCTTTTTTCAGCTATCTCTTCATTTGGGAGATAGAGTACAAACTTCATCCCCCATTCCTTCTTACATGTCCCAGTATAGTAAATCTCTTGAACATTCATTCAGGGTACTGAGAGGAATGTATCCCGTGGGCTTGGTGAGTTGCACTTACTATTAATTATAAAAATATGTTTCACTTTAGCCTTTGAGAAGTTCTAGGAACATGGTGGGGGTAGAGGTGTCTCCCTTGGGGTGGAGGGGAGCTTACATTCAGAGTGCAGCCTTGCCCTCTGGGAATAGTACCTTCTGCCCTCTAAAGAGGGAGAGATATGGAGTCCCTTTTTGATAGACTGGTCATTGAAACAACTGCTCTTCAAGTGATCTAGATGGCTTGCCTTTCTGTAATAACTTCAGGACTGTAGCTGTCATCTTGATGAGAAGCAAGAATAACTGGAAGGCAGCTTTTTATAGTACTTTATTCTGTACTTAATGCCTCTTCCTCTTCTTATATTGAAAAAGAACATAAAATTACCATAGAAAGCCAAGATTCTATGAAGGTAACATTTGAGTATTGTAATTTGTCCTTTTTCTTTCTTTGAAGGAATGGGACAACAACCAGATCCAGCCTTTGGTCGAGTGTCTAGTCCTCCTAATGCAATGATGTCATCAAGAATGGGTCCCACCCAGAATCCCATGATGCAGCATCCTCAGACTGCACCCATGTATCAGTCCTCAGAAATGAAGGGGTGGCCATCAGGAAACTTGGCCAGGAACAGGTAAAGAATAGTGACTTTAAAAGCCATTCACACCCTGGCGCTAAAAGTCTAGGAAATTAATCTCTGCATTTTCCAGCCACACTTATTTGAATGGAGAGATCAGAAAACATGGGTTCATATTAGCAAACGTGTTGCTTATCTTGTCCATGAGAGTCTTTTATACCATGCACATGTTCATCAGAGTATTGGTTACAGACAACTATGAAAAATAAAGGCAGGCTGTCCAAAAGTTTGCTCTCTGATGTTCCCTGCTTAAGTATAAGGGCATTTGACAAAATTATGATAGACCCTCTGTGTGTACCCTGTGTTCTAAAATGACTCTTTCTTCATAGTACCTTTCCCCAGCAGCAGTTTGCCCACCAGGGGAGTCCTGCAGCTTACAGCATGGTGCACATGAATGGCAGCAGCAGCCACTTGGGGCAGATGAGCATGAACTCCATGCCCATGTCTGGCATGCCCATGGGTCCTGATCAGGTATGGCTCTGTTCCTTACCTTTTTTTCAAGAAATGACCAAAGCTCCAGCTATAATGTAAAGGTCCTAGGTAGATTGCATCTGTACTACATGTGTGTGTGTGTGTATATATAACCATATCACTTTAAAAAATACAGTGATTGAGAAAAAAAAAAAGTGGTCTGAGGCCCTGACCCATTAAGCTATTTGTGGTAATAGGCACTCCAGAGTCTGAACCAGTCAGCCAGAGGTATGTAATGAACCCTGTGTGTAGCTGTAGGCTTTTTTATCTGTTGTGTTGAGTACTTATTTTACTCTTTTTAAAATTGTTTATTGATTGATGTACTGGGGTTTGAACACAGGGCCTTGAGCTAGGCAGGTGTTCTACCACTTGAGCCACACCCTAGCCTTTTTTGCTTTATTTTTTGAGTAGGGTCTCGAGTTTTTGCCCAGACTGACTGGACTGCAGTCATCCTAGTTAGGCAATTAGGATGACATGTGCTTGCTACCTTGCCCAGTTTTTATTGGTTGAGATGGGATCTGGTGAACTCTTTGCCCAGGCTTGTCTCAAATTTATGATCCTCCCCATCTCCATCTCCTGAATGGCTTTCAGATGTGAGCTACTGTGCCTGGCTTTACTCATATTTTCTTGTTGCTAACAGAAATACTGCTGATATCTCCACACTGGGACCTCTAAGGAAATCACAAATGATACTGCACCAGGATCATTGGGAGGTAAAGAATCATTGTTCAGGCATCCAGCTTGGAAGCAAGGACCAGCTTTGATCTCCACTGTGGTATTCCAAGTGATGTCATTTGAGCAGCACTGGATCTTAAGCTGAAGCGCAATATCTACCTGTTTCCCCTCTTCTCTGTATCATGGTGTTCAAACAAATATTTTCAGCATTCTGCTTCCTAGGGATGCAATTCTGGAGATGAGTGTTCCTGATCACAAAATCCTCTTGTGTCATGTCCTTCTGCCTTGTGAGCCTGAGTCTTTCAAATAAATGTAGGCGGGCTAGGGTTTTTCTAGTTGCAGGACTGGACATAGCACATAGTCCCAGCCTCCAAGTGTTTTTGTCACTACCAGCTAGTTCTATGTTATCTTTCATACAGTGGAATTGCCATTGCCTCATTTTGTCCTTCATGGATGGGGTTGAATTGCCATCTCCCTAGTTTTTGTAGTCCTTGGTTCTCCCAATGAGGATTTTCATTTGGCTCTAATGTCTTGTAATAGTCCAGAATTTGTCATTGATGTCAGATGGCTTTGCAGAAGAGAAAATGAGACGACAGTATTTTAATTGCAGCAGTGGCAAAATTTTCATAAGCTAATGTGCAGCCAAAGTGCACTTTATTTAAAAAGCAATGGATAAATGCAATATTCTTGAGGTCTTGAGGAATGGTGAACCACATTCCTGGTTTTTGTCTACACTTGTTGGACAAGAACCATGATTTAAAAAAAAAAAAAAGTACTGGTGTCACCCTTTGCCTATATGGTAGAGCAATAATGCTTTTAAAAAATTAACTTCTGAAAACCCAAGGCCAGGTACTGCATTCTGAATCAGAATTTCGCAGTGTTTCTGTGAATAGATTTTTTTTGTAAATATGACCTTTAAGATATTGTATTATGTAAAATATGTATATACCTTTTTTGTAGGTCACAACAGCTCATTTTTACAGAGTTCATGAAGCTAAATATTTAACATTGTTGATTCAGTGAGCTCCATGTTCTGAGGCTACAAACAGAAGAGACATCCACGAATCGTGGCCTAGGAGGAGGGGGTTAGTGCTCCACACCTTTTCCTCTTCCCCCAGCCTGGATGCCTTGTTCTTCTCAATCTCTTAATCTAAATGCTTTTAAAAGAGATCATTTGTTTAGATGTAGGCATTTAATATTTTAAAAAATTCCTCTCCCAGAGTACTAAGCACTTTGTTAATTTTGGGGGTAAGAATAGATATGGGGAAATGAAAAAAACAGGAATTATTAAAAAAAAAAAAAGTAATTTGATTTAAAAAAGAACGTTTGGATTTTAAGCAGTCCATAAATTAAATAATATTTTTTTTTTAAAAATTTAAACTATGTTCCCTTTTCATCCATTTTATTAGTGATTTTGGTTACTAGGACCCGAATCCCACATTGAGATTGCAGGAGTAGAGTCCTTGGTGTGTGGTTTCTGTGTCTGCTCAGCTATCTTGCCATTCTCTTAATGTGGTGTTTTCATTATCTGTGAATTAGAATAGTGTTATGTTATTTTTTACAGGGTTCATTACCCAGAGCCACCAGTCCTAACTGAACGCCTTTGCACCTCTCCCTTCTCTGTCCCTCCATTGCTACTGATACCTCCCTGACACCTATTCTAGTCAGTTTGGAGGTGGGGGGAACCAAGCTTAATTCCCTTTACCTGTGTTACAGTTAAAGGAAATTGGGTTTTTGGAATATCTATTAAGTTTCAAATGTCTTCATTTTCTAGTACTGAGAGCCAGTTGATTTTTTTTTTTAAAATTTTACAGTTTAGCCAGTCTTTCTAGATAGATGTCTCTGAATGTAAGAACATTAAGTTTTTTTGACATGCTTATGAACAAGTGAAGCCCGTGTTTGCAGAACCACCACTAGAGTGGATTTTATTTTCCCAACAATGTAGATCATATGAGTTTGCCCCTCTTTATCCACTGCCCTCAGCTTAAAAACAGCTCCCATATTGTACATCCACAAACTTTGCTGGTATCGGTCTGTGCTTTTCGGATGGCAACTACTTCTGCATGGAGACAGGTGAGGCACAGCCGAGCTAGTCTGTCTTTCTGCCTGGTCGTGTTGGGAATGTCTGAACCTTTCTTGTTCAAATTGTGTGTGCCAGGAGGACAGAATGGTGCTCTTCTTACCTTTCCTGACTTTTAAAAATGACTCAAAACAAAACTTTGTGATTCTTTCCTCAGTCCTAACTTCAGGCTCACCAGAAGGCAGCAGCCCCTTTTTGTATGAAGAAAATGAAATTTATGAGTTTTTATAGCTCCTAAGTGTTGATTCTATTGGTGCAAACTCAAGATTTTGATTTTCTTTTAATAGATAGAGTCTGTGAGATAACTTGCTGTTTTTACCTTTATTGCCCTTTCATCTTTTTGGGTAATTCCATTTGTATTCCTGCTGCCTACCTCTTGTCACTCCCCCACCCCTTTATAAACCTAGGTATCTGTTGCGTGAACAACATAAGTAATCTTTTCATCTGCTTTTAGAATGTGGGATATTTCCAGTACTTTTTTGCTGAATCCAAAGATATATAAATAAAAATATATATTTTATGAAGATCAAAATGATATTAACGAGATAACATGTTTCTTCCTATAAAAAATAGAGGGTGCATTGTTAATGTTCATATTATGCCATTTTTCTAAATTGTGCATCTGGATCAAAGGTATAAATATCAATAAACAGTGCTCTTAGATCATCGGGATTGAATATCTAAGGTGAGTCGGGGGCCTATTGGTTTAAAGTCCTAGAAGTTCTTTGATTCAGGTCAGTGCAGCTGGAAAGTAAAAACAGAGAAGAGACTGCCAGTTTCTCACATGCCGGTCCAGGTCCCCTTTTATTTCCAGAAGCCATGAATTTTGTTCACAAGTAAGGAGTTCACAAGAGCAAATGCTCTGTGACAGATGAAATTTTACCCCTGCCGTGGATGAACAGGAGTTGTCTCCAACTCCAGGGCAAACTATTTACAAACAAGCAGAGTGTGTTCTTTTTCTTCCTCCTTCTGCTCTTCCTTGGCAATACATGGAGTTCTGAAGAAGATGGAAATGTCATTCTGAGAGCAATATTTAAATTCTCAGGAATTGACTGGCACTATTGAGAATGAATTTGGTTTCAATCAAGTTTATATTAAGTGTCTCTTAAAAATTGAAGTCATTCTTCACTGCAAAGAATTTTGAACCATCATGAGATGGGAGTGGTAAGCTATGACTGCTTTGCTGACTGGCCATTTCAGATGTCCTTGTAAATAAAGGTTTCTATTTAAAATTGGAGCCTAAGAGCATGCTTTTTCTCCTTCCTTACCACTATTGGATTAAGGGTGAAAGAGGAGGTTAAGGAAGCCTATTTTAACTAACAGTGCAGTTTCTGTGAAGTTGACAATTATTTTCTAGAGAGCTTGGGGCATTGATAAGCATGGAAATGTTTTTATAAAACACGAGCATAGCTGTGCCATCTGTTAAGTGAAAAGTGGGTTGGACTGGTGATGGTGAGCTTCCTCCTACTTTGCCACTCTAGAATCCTCACACCACCTGTACCGGGTTACAGTACCTGGCACACAAAGAAGGGTTGACTAAAGTGAACTGCTTTTCTGTGGAGTAATACTCTAAAAATAAAATCCCAAAGCTGGTGTAATGTGCCTTGAAGTGTGGTTAATTTTACATAAACGTTCAACTACTTGTTCGCCTTTAAAAATCTTATAAATTGAAGGCATCTCCTTCCAAAAAGGTGTTGACTGTTAATGTGCTGAATGAATTTTTTGTTTAAAATGAAACAAAGACAAAACTCACAAGAATGGCCTTTTACAAAATTTAAGGATTTCTTCATACCAATTGGTAGTCATTGGCTAGGGTTTTAAACATTGTACGACAATATTTATACTACAAAATTTCTTTACAAATACAGTGTCATTAAAACTTGGGACATACATCAACTTTTTGTTTCTTTTTCAGTACCTTAAAAAAAGTCAGTCTGGGACAGAGAACAGGAATGAATGCTGGGCAGGAACAGAAATGTCCACAATAGCAAGGGCTTTTCTTTACACTGGCCATAGAGCGTTTATTGACACCACCACTCTTGAAACTTTGGATTTCTTATTAGTCAGATTCCCCTAAAAGTTCCTGTGTTGGTTACATGTAAATAGTCACATATGTACAGTGAAGGCAATTTCTTCCGAGGCAACCAGGGCTATCGGGCTAGGTAAATGTCACCGTTTTTTTTTTTTTGTGCTATTGACTCACTATCAAATTCTGTGTGCTGTTTCAGTATCTGTGAGTTACCCATCCTGCTTCTTAGTTCCTTCTTTGTTATGAGTCAAAATAAGAGGGTTAAAAGGGGGTTGTTATTCCCTTATGATTAAAAAAAATTCCAGTGACTTTTACCTCTAGGGAAAATGTCCATGAAAAACTCAGTTCTTCCCGAGTCTCTCAGTGAGGGCTAGTGGTGACCTTCTTGATAGGAAAATGCATTTTGTGCAGCTGGTGAGGTATAATCCAAAGCAAAGCAGGGGCAAAAGTGGACTTCCTGAAGTCTCTGCTCCTGACAGTTACCTCCAGAATTTCCACATTGACTGAAAGCAGGTTCTGTCTCTCTCAGGTCTCTGGCCTACAGCACAGGTTTGCTGGGAATCCCACGTGGGTTTTCATGGCCTGTACCACCAAGACAAGGCCTCCGTGTTTTGAGGTTCATCTCTGCTGCTGCTTAGCCTTCCCAGCCTTCCCACAGCTGTCCCCTGGAGAACAGAACACACTTCTCAGCCTTTTGATCATCCTGCTGCTTAGGATTCTTACTTAGCTCTCCAGCTGAGGAAGCATTGCTTCAAGGATGTAGCACTGAAATGAGTATTTCTAGTCACTGTCTCACTGGTAATCATTAAACTTATCCACTTAGTAGCCGGCAAAGGTGGTATTGAAAGATCTGGATAGTGGCTAAGGAGAATGTGAGGTGTGAATCTGGAAGCAGCAGGATTGCTTAGCTAGTTCATTACTGTTATCCTACTAAAGCCACATGGTTTTATGTTTGAAAAGGAGGAAATAGTAGCTCACTAATGGGGCTGGTTTGCCTGTACAATAATGCCAAGTTAGTTGCCAATATTAAAAATACCTGCATTTCGGATTTCCCTGATGAGTGAGAAGCTCTAGCAAGCTGCACCATGCGCATGTAGGGAACAGACTAGCCTCTCCCTTCAGACTTGAGATGAACTTTGCAGAGTGCCACGGTTTCTATGCAGCCCCCACTAGCCCATTGGCTGTTTGAAAACCACTTACTGCAGCCACTCTACTGCTGACATTGTGCACCAGTTAGCACTTTTTTTGCAGCCACAGCCTTCAAGATGTCTGGCAACTGTAATATTTAAATGCTTCTCAACCTGTCATAGCTCACTGTATTGGACAAGGTATTAATTTGAAATATGAAATGAATTCACATAAATTTCATAGCATTTCTCTTTCCCTCTCATCATGGGAACAGTGAGGATAATGAAGAGACATGGCATGCAATGGAATAGCCCTGGCAACAGCAAGCAAGTCAGAACCAGATCTGTGAACTGGTTCCTCAACTCACAGTGACTTGGAAGAAGGTCTCTTCATTTCTGGCCATTTCCGACGCTGAAACTGCCTAGGTTTTCAAGTGTCAAAAGGAAACAAAACAAGTGTTAACCATCGTCAAGAAAGAAAGGCACCCCCAAAGAACGACACAGAGAAGGTGTCTTAGGTGATTTCTGTCACTGGCGTGTGGCCTAGGACCCAGACACACTGAGAAAGGGCAATTTCTCAATATAGACATGAGACTAAAGGATGGCTCAAGATACAGAACTTTCCTCAAGCTTGAATAACAAAACCCAATACCTGTATTGCTCATAGCTTCCTCCATCTTTAAGTCCTGAACCAGAGAGAAATGAATAAATTAGGAACAGTTTAGGGCAAACATGGCACAGGCAGTAATGAACTTTATTGCCTTCTAAGAAAGAACCCAGAAAGCAGCCTTGGGCTTTTTTTGCACAAAGTCAGGATGCTCATAGTGTCCCCTAGTCAGATGGAGTGGGTGCAATGATAAGGTGAACTTGCCTGAAGTCTGCTAGGAGCCTTGTTGATTGCTCACCATCTGGTGTCATCGGATCAGCTGTAGGATGCTGATGCCTTCCTGTGGCACAGATGCCAGTGCCACAGAGACAGGTGCCCAGGCTCTTGGAACGGGTTCTCTAGGTCATGGCACTGAGATCAAGTACATGGGCTTGGGGGTCACCAGCAGGGTACACTGAGTCACCTTGGGCCGCAGGAGAATCTGCACTAATGCACGTGGCACAGTGCTTGGATCAGGCGGTGTGAGAGCTCTTCCCTCTTTATAACCACAGCAGCATCTGGATTCCTCCTTCCAGGCTGCTTAGCCACTTTTCCTTACAGGATCTCTAGCTGTCACTCTCCCAGGTGGAAGCTCCCCAGGGCCCTTCAGCTCCTTAGGGTTTTTATTCCCTCTATATTGTGATTGGGCGAGTAAGCAGCTAGCTGCCCTCTTTTTACTTTTTCCATCTGAAGACATCTAGTTGGCATCCTAAACTTAAGAATTGCTGAGTTTGCCCTGTACCCACAAAACCCAGGAGTTGTCTGACTCACTTTCTGTTACCTCCACCCCTTATCACCCTATTCTTTGGGTTTCATTACCAGGATCTCAAATCCACATCCTGTGTCTTCACTGCTCCCACCCCTACTCACAGCCACCACCATCTTCCCTGGATAATTGTATCAGTTGTCACTGTTTTTCCAATACAGTTCTCTCATTAAATACAGACTTTCACTGCCCAGGTCAAAACCCTTCACCAGCTTCCTAAAACACCTACAGTGAAACCCGAACTTTCTCCCATGGCCTGCAAAACTTGACAAGATGGCTTTCTAACCCCACCTGCCACTCTCACAGGGAGGAAAATGAGAAGGAAGTCCATGTTTCCTGTATGGACAGTCTGGGTACTCGCAGCTCATTGAAAGCCAAGAGCCATGGTGGTTTGTCTTGAATTATATCCCCTCCCCTGAGCTCCTGATGATTCCAGGCTTATCTTGTCTGTCCCTGTGGGTTCACTCTGCTCTCTGCAGGTCCAGTCCAGGGACATACTCACCCAGGTCCATGTTTCGGGTCCGGGGGTTGCACTGCTTGTAACCCTTGCAGCTTCTCAGCTCCATGAGCTGCACATGGAGCTGATTGAGGACGTCTCTGTCCAGTGTGTTCACTGCATTCATTAACTGGTCAGGAAAAAGGAAAGCTGTCAACAAGGTGTATCCATGGGACCCCTGTACCATCTTCTACAAACCAGGGATTTATTTTAGGTTGGGAGTGGAAGGTGGTGTGGGGTGGTGTCCACTCACCCCCAACCTCCATTTCTGCAAGAGCTTAAAGTTCAGAAGTTAGGGAATGCTTTAGCTTCTCTACCCACCAGGCTCTCTCTCAATGAGAGTGGAGTCACACGAATATAAGTCACATCTGTGGTTAATGTTGAATTTTGGTGCCATTGGTCAGGAAACTGAAGTTTGGGAAGAAGCCCTTCTGAACCAGGGACTCTCAGTAGTCTGCCTTCACATCAAAGCCCCTCAGTGCTTCTAGCGTGGAAAGCAGCCATTTGTTAAGGGGCTGGTCAGTGACTGGGGCCCTGCCTAGTCTGGGAGCTACTGGTGACCCACTAGCTTACATCCTCTGCCACCGCTTTGGTAAAATACAGCTGAACCTATCTGAAGAGAAAGGCTGGCAGCCTGTAGGGTCCTCCAGATCAGTTGAGCTGCTGGCATCTCATGCAAGAAACTACTTCAGCCTTTTCTAAGAAGGTGGAGGGTTGCGTAATACCAAGTCCACAAGACAGAAAAGCACTGCAGTGACTATACAAGAGCTCGCAAGTGCCAGTTACTGCTGCTCAAGTGTATCTCACATGTGGCAGTAGGCTATTCCAATCCTGTGTCTAGGTCATTTTTTTTTTTTTTTCTTTTCATGGAGCTGGGTTTGAGCTCAGGGCCTCGTGCTTGCTAGGCAGCGACTCTACTACTCGAGCCAGTCCACCAGCCTTGCCCAGGTGATTTAAAACATGTAAGCATTGAGCACTGTGTGGCTTAGGTTGGTGCTAGGTGAGTGTTGTCGCTATTGGATTATCTGCAGGGTTCCTATGGGCCTGGAGTGTGCAGGGCATGGCCTGAATGACCCTGCAGCCCCATAAGTGCCTGTGGAGCTTGCTTGCAGTCCACATGGGGCATGTATCATCCATCACAGATGCAGGATGGTGGAGGTAGAGATAGGCTGACTGGACAGTGAGTAGTTTCAGAACCTACCCTTCCTGCCTTAGGGACTCAGTGGGACTTGGAAAACTGTCATTGCTTCTCCCAGGGGCAAGGGGCCTTTTTAGCAACACCTGTGAACCCCATGCCCCTGTTTGTCCACTGGTGGTGTCTTACTTGGTAGGGGTCTGTGTTGAGGTCGAAGTACTCCAGAAAGCCAGTTGCAAATTCGCAGAAGAGGAAATTATGGGTCTCATTGATAGTCCTCATGCACCAGTACGTGTTATTGTTTGCACTGGTGCATGCGCAGAAGGGCCCCACTGCCAAGGGAAGAGAGAGCACGCCCTGAGGGTGCCTGCAGGAAGAACCACTCTGTCAGGCACTGCCCCCGCCCCAGCCAGGGCCTCAGATGCCAGATGACAGTGTGGTGCCAGGCACCTGTTTCCAAGAACCTCCAAGGCCTGCCAGTGAGGCTCCCACAAGCTCGGGGTGGCGGGTCACCATGTGAAGTCCCGCTGCCCTCTGGGCCCCAGCCTGCCCATCCCTGTCCTATGCCTGCACCGCTTGCTCACGTGTCCAGAGAGGTGCCGTCTGCCAGTGCTGGTTGTCGTGGGTGAAGCACGTGAGGCCTGGCATGCTGCATGTGTCATTGTTCTGCAGCCGTTTAAGCAGCTTACGAAGTTTCTTCTTGCGCTTCTGCTCCCGCAGCAGCCACACCTTATCCTTCTCCTGCAGACCCTTCCTGGGAGCACGCAGAGCCACACACACCGTGGGTCTCTGAGGGCTCAGTGACCCTCAGCCTCTGCTCTTGCTGTCCACCCTAGGTACTGGGCTGAGTCACTGAGGGCCCCAAGTTCCCCAAAGCAGTGCTGGGACCAGAACCTGGGGTTCCTCTCCTCCCACAGCTACCTTCAGCTCCCCACAGGACACAGAAGTGGGAAGAGTGCAGGGACTCCGGTTCACACCCTGTCCCCTCCTCGCTGTGTCCTGCCTGCCGGCTGGGGCTACAATACCCTGTCTAGCCACAAGGGGTGTCAGAGGCCTGCTCCGTGTAGGTTGGGAGTTCTTTCCCAGGTAGCCTCAGGTCTCACTTGCCAGGAAAAACCAGGACTTCTTTCCCTTCATAGCTTACTTTAGTTTACAGGAGTGCAGCCCCCTCTGGTATCCCTCCCCAGTGTGGGGATCTGGCTCCTGTGACCCTTACCTGAAAGGGTGCAGGCTTGAGCCTTTGTGCTTGAGGCGGCCTTTGTGCTGGGCATGGTAACTGCAACAGACCCCCAGGTGTCAGGAGCTTGCAGGGCCACCTTGGGCAACCATGTCACTACTGCCTTCATTGACCCTCTCTGTGGGGTGGTAGGGATGGGATTACACTTCCCTGATGACCTCAGGCCAGACTTTTTGGGATAGGTCTGATTTAGCTGAGCCTGGCTTCAATGGTAGTAGCCTTGACTTCTGGTGGTTGGCTCCCACTGTGTCACCCACCTCTCTCTTGATCAGGGACAGCACTGGGAAACTTGAGTTTTGTAAGCCTTTCTGAGACAGCTGTGGTGCCCAACCCGGTAGCTGTTGGCCATATGTGGCTACTTCAATTTAAATAAAGTAAAATGAAAGTTTTAGTACCTTTCAAGAGCTCAGGAGCCACACGTGCTGGGTGGTTATCATGCTCAACAGTGCAGATAGAGCCCATTCCCATCTGTGTGGGAAACTAGTGGACAGGGCCACTCAGCCCAGTGATTTCCAAGGGCAGTCAGCAAGGGCCTCTCTCTGTTTGGCCAGGACCTGCCTCTTGTTAGTGTTTCACAGACCTGGCTCACCTGGCCACCTGAGGGGTGCTCATTACTGATTTTTTTTAAACTCTAAGGAGTAAAGATAGGGGTTGAAAACCAATAAAAGGGTCAATAATAAGAGGGGATTCCTTGTCCCCAGGAAGGCAGGTGGCCCTTGCTACCTCCTCACCTAATTTTGTGGCAATCACACTCTTCAGGCCGCTTTTTCTTGAGGTGACCTCGGACTTCCCTCAGGTTCTTGATTTTGTTCTGCAGGGTTTCAATCTGAAGGAGGACAGAAGAGGCTGGGCGGGGAGAGCCCCTTGCTTCCACCTCCAAAGGAGGCCAGTACCCCTCAAGCAGAAGAAAGAACTGCGTCTTCCTGGTCAGGCCTGGCCTGGTGGAGAACCAGCCAAGCCCACCAAGGGCTGAGATGTCGCCCCAGGCTTGCTGAAGGGCTGCTGTACGGTACTATAGATGTATTTTGGGTCAGAAGAGAGTGGCATGACTAAGCTATCATCCTGCAGATAGCCTGCTGGCATTGATGTTCCTGTCCTGGGGTTGTAGATTCAGTGGGGTCCTCCCTTTGCCTCTCTGGCCTACCCCCTCCCTGTGGAGTCTGCCATGCCTGGGCACATGCTCCCCACCACTTCGCGCACCTCATGGTCAATGTGCAGCTTGTGGTCTTTCCAAGCCTGCAGGGATTTGTACAGGTCCAGATCACACTGGACTGTGTCATTCTCAAGGATGTAGCACCTGTCCAAGAGAAGGGATCACATATGGCTCTGAGGAGTGAGAGGGACCCAACCTGCCCCTCCCCGCTCACCTCCACTGGATTCTCACCGGTGGGTCACTTTAATGGGGTTGGGTGCTGAGTAGTCTGGGAGGCCTCCAGTGCCACTGAAGCCCCCACTGTCCTTGTCATCCGGGTCCACCGGGGCCCCTGGCCAGTGTCGCTTGGTAAGGTTGCGGGGCTGGGTTGCATCATCCAGGCCTACATGGTACACCTCGCCATCCACCTCGATAGCCACAGAGCGTATGGAGCGATTCCGGGCATAGCTGGCCTTGTACTCTGTGGGTGTCGGGGTACAGCTGGGTTAAGGGAGACTGAGAAGTGTGGGCCCCACACTTGGTAGCAGGTCCTTAAGATGGGGCTGGGTTCCCAGGTGTGAGACTTAGTGTTGCCTGAGACATGTGGGCTCATGAAATCTCTACCCAGAAGCAGGTCCTGGGCCTCAGAGAGGACTTCAAGGTGGTTGAATTGGGGAGACTGAAGCCCTGGAAGCCAAGAAACAACTGACTTGAGAGAATTTCAGGAGAGGTCATGGATAAGTCATGGAGCATCCACACCAAGGAGTACTGGGCTACACAAAGGAGGGAGTCCTGATTCATGCTCCAACCTGGACGAACACCCACAGCACTGTACTAGTGAGAGAGAAGCCAGACACCGGAGGTCTAGGACCATATCACTCTGTGCGTGTGAACGACCAGAGGATGGCCTGCTGGTGGACGAAAACGGAGCAGTGGTTGCCACGGCTGGAAAAAGGCACTGCGGAGTGGCTGGATGGATTAAAATACTTCCAAATTGTAAAAAATTGTATAAGCAGTAAGTTTTATGTGAACTTCACCTCAATTTTTAAAAAAAGGGGGTAGGGTGGGGGGGAGGAACATCGATATAAAAACATGGATTTGGATTGAGGAAAAAGAGCAAAAAAGCTATGTAGGTCATTGCTCTGGATAGAAGGGGGCAAGGCCTGCGCCTCAGCTTGAGTCACTCCTCATTGGTGAGCTGCATACTCTCGGCCGCAGGGCAGTGTGTGCTGAGGACTGAGGGTGAGCAGGCTCAGGTCAGACTCGGGATGTCTTGGAGCTTTTATATATTAGACAAGTTTGATCAAGTTGCCAACATTAAAAGTGGGAAGGAGAGTGGTGGTCAGGGAGGGCTTGAGGTGTTCCAGTTCTGAAAAGAAAAATGGAAGCCCTGATTGGGTCCACAGTTCTGAAGGGAAGTGAGGGCAGGGGTCTTCACAGAGGGTGGTGGGCTCTCCAGTAGACTATAGTGCCTGCTGCTTCTTTCTGTTTTAAAACTGCCCATCTGACTTCTGTCTGGCCAGTGAGCTACATCCCAGCCCCAGGGCTGGTGTTTTTTACCTCAGTTCTCAGATTCCTGGTATCAGAATCATAAGGGGCCAGGACTGGCTGCCCTCTTCTGGCCTGGGACAGCTCTTTTCTTGGCTGTTTTTCTCCCTCCTGGAGCTTAGTCTCCCTGATGTAAAAAGTATCAAGGAACTTGTCCTGTACTGTGCAGGTTGGGTCATGGGACAAGCTTTGGTGTGTGCCTTTGGTCTCACCTGGCTACTTTGCATCTGTCTACCCATCCACTTCCCAGCTATCAGAGCAGGAGTCCCACAACCATGGCCAAAGGGCCCAGCCTGGCCCTCCACTGTTTGTAAATATGGTTTCATTGGAACACAGCTACTCACATTCGTGTATGTCTCTATAAGGACACAGCCCAACTTAATCACTTCTGGCTCCTGGAAAGCCCCATGTCCCTTGTCCTGGACTGAAGCCTCACCCTCTGCTTGCCTGTCCCTGCCTTTGTTTCCAGGGTCCCCCAGGCACCTTCTAGCCACACAGATGGGGTGGAAGGTCACTTAAAACTGAATGGGCAGCCACTTAGGCTCTGCGATCAGACTGCTTAGGTACAACCCCTGACACGGGTGACCACGTGCCATTCACCTAACTGTAGGCAGCCACGTTCTCAAGATGGTGCTCATCTACCAGGCTCTTTGGAGGATGACATGAAATGAAACTGGTAGATATTTTAGTACCTTGTTAGCTGGCATCAACTAGCTGCTGTAGGATTGGGGACTGAAGTTGTGACATCCTTGTCCATAGTAACAGCCTAGGCCTTCCGCCTCTCAGGCTAGTGAAGCCTGCGTGACCTGGCTCCCACAGACCACACTGGCTGCCTCTCTGTGGCTGGACCCATCAAGCTCTTTCTGACCACAGGATGTTTGTACTTCCTCTTCCCCTACTTAGAGTTTGGTCAACTACCTACCTACCTACCTACCTAGAGACACTGCTGTGTAGCTCAGGCTGGCTATAAACCTGAGATCCTTCTGCCTCCACCTCTCAAGTGCTGAGATTATAGGTGTGAACTATCATACCCAGCTTTTCTCTGTTCTCATCTAAATGTCAACTGGTCACCATTTTGGACCTGCCATCCCTCTCCACCTGATCACTCCACAGCTGCATTTTCTTCATGCTCTTTCGTCAGGGGAAGCAACCCTTTTGTCTTATTCATGGGGTCTCTCATTCAGCTCTGTAACTGCAGCATCTGGCACATGGTAGGGCTGGTAGGTTAGTTGGGAGCATAAGCAAACACCAGTTTACCTGGGCCCATCCCAGAAGCCTCTCCTCGCATCATTCCTGGGTGTTTCCTCTGTTTGGGGCTGGCTGGCTCTGCCTGGCTTCCCCAGTGGCTAAGGCCCCAGTGGCTAAGGCCCCAGTGGCTAAGGCGGGCTAGGGTGAGAGCTGCTCCAGGCGGGGGCTTCCCAACCTGTGGGCTGGTGTGTGGGGCTGTCCTGTATATCACAATGTCCCTGGCCTCTCATCACTAAATGCTAGTTGTATCTGTCACTCTCAATTGCCCAAATGTCTTCAGACATTGCTAACTGTGCCCTTGGGGAGTTGCTGCCTCCAGTTGAGCCTGGGATAGAGTGTTTGGTCGTAGGCTCTTGCGGGGAGAAGAATACTGGACAGGAGGTGGCACTGGAGTCCCCTCTATCAGTCTTGTGACCAGTCCTTCCCACTGTAAGGAGCGATCCCACCCCTGGTGCTCCCAGGGCCGTTGGGAGGTGCACTGAGACAAGCTTTGCTGGTACCCTGCCGTGGGCTAGGCCTCACCACCCCGGCCGAGTAGCTCATCTGCAGCTTTCCTAGAAGCACTAATGGGGCAGGGGGCAGAGGAAGCTTCATTTTGTCACAAGTTCTTATTTGAGGATTATCTACTGTGCCACATATCAAAGCAAGGAGATGGTAGTAATGCAATTTCATCTGGAATCACTGTGTTCAGCTGATAAAATTAGCTTCATCAGCTGGTGAAGAAATGTGACCAGGTACAACCACGGGGCAGTGTTGCTGCCTAGCTGTAGGGGCCAGGGAGCCTCAGAGGGGACCACTGGGCTGCATCTGGACGGCCACACCTCTAGGCTGCAAGGTTCTACCATTCAGCCTTAAAAAGGAAGGGGATTCTGACAAGCTGCAGTGTGATGCCTCACAGGACACTGTGCTAAGTGAGAAAAGCCAGAACCCAAATGACAAACACCCTAGGGTTCCACTTACATGAGGCCCCTAGAGCAGCCAGAGTCATGGAGGTAGACAGTGCTTACTGTGCGAAACAGAACATTCTGGAAACAACGTATTTAACACTAGTGAGCTGATACTTCCAAAGGCAAGAAAAATATGTATGTATATATTTATAAATATATATATATGTTATGTATATTTCACTGCAATTAATAAGCAGAACCAAATCTTTGTAAGGAGGCCAGAAGAAAGGACACACAGGACACTGCACAGCTCAGGAGGGGACACATCTAGCCAGCCGAGTTGCTGCCCAGGAGCCCGCCAAACACTTTAAAAAGTTTCATTTCTGGTCTAGGGCTGTGGCTTAAGCGGTAGAGCACCTGCCTAGCAAGCATGAGGCTCTGAGTTCAAACCTCAGTGCCACCAAAAAAACAAAAGACAGGCTCATTCCCATGGCAACGGGTCACTCCCCCTAGGTCACGAGGAGGAGCTGAGTCATGGAAGGGGGTCAGCATCACCCGCTGTGGTGGCTGAGCCCCCACAGTCATCCTCCTTATGCCCAGGACTCTGTGAACACCAAGCCATGGTTGGTGGGCATTCGAGCTAGGCCGCGGGCCTCGGGTCACAGCGTTTCCATCGCACACAGAGAGCCTACTGTGTGTGTGTGCATCACAGAAATGACACTTCATTGCACACTCGTAGTGGGTCCATTTACACTGCTCTGTTGGCCAACAGCACAATACCCTGCCTGAAGGTCGCCTGTAGCCCTAGCCAGCACATCAGAGCTGCCCTCAGGGCCAAAAAGCATAAAACTGTGTAGCATGTGGCACTAAACAGATTGTGACAGGACACTTCTTTATAGTGTTAAAACAGGGAAGACTAGAGTAGCCATAGCCTTTTTTTTCCTTTCTTTTTGCACCCTACATTTGAGCCAAGGCCTCATTTCTTTTGCTTTTTGTTTTTCAGATAGAGTCTTGTGCTTGTGCCTTGGGCTGGCCGCTCATCCTCCTATTTCTGCCTCCCAAGTAGCTGGGATTATAGGCATGAGCCACCACACCTGGCTCCACAGGCTTTTTCAACTTCAGCTGGGAATGTGTGCTGGGTAACTTCAAATGTCTGTGAGTGACCTTGAAACTGCCTTGAGGGTTGATTATGGGGCTACAGATGGGTTTTAGGAGCAGGTGGATTTGCACCCACAGAATCTGAATAATAAGCATCAACTATCAGACTGACCCCTCAAGTACCTCCAGATCCTTCCTTTTCTGACACTACAGCATCATCCATGCCACCCTCACTTGTCGCCAGGTGACTCTGCCAGGTTCCTAACAGTCTGCCTGCTTCTCATGGCCCCTCACATGGCGGGGGGGACCTTTAAGAACACAAACCCCACGACTCCTCTGCTCAGAGCCTCCAGCCCAGAGGACCCTGCCTTGGAGGAGGTGCCCTGTGAGCTCAGACTCCAGCCCCACCTGCACTTCCTCTGTCCTCTAGTGCTCTGTCTTATCACTGCCACCCCCACTTGAATGGTGGCTTCTGAGGGGTTTGGCAGCGTCCTCAGCTCCTAAAATGACACCTGACCCTGGAGACAAGAACCTGGAATCGCTGGAACATTGGAAAGGGTTTCCCCAGGTTCCTCTCCCCCCTGCTCAGTTCTGCCCAGGCTGTGACACTTACTCTTCTTGAAGAACTTTTTCCGACGGCCGGCCAGGCTCAGCTTGTAGTCCCCGCTGTCACAGGTGCAGGCCTCACTGCTCTGGCCAGAGTACTTGGGCACGAGGTTGGAGAGGGCGCCACCACCACCTAGCCGCACAGGGCCCTTGCACTTGTGCAGTTTCAGCCTCCCCGAGGCGTCCTCCACGCACTGCCACTTCTGCAGAACACAGCAGGCCTCAGGCCCAGCCCTGCCCTGCCCTCCACACCCACTCCCCCCACCTCCCTATTCCTGCCAGCATCCAGACATTGGCAGGTCCTCCCTCTGCCACCTCCAAGGGCCAGTTCCTCTCCACTGGCCCAGCATGTGCCTCGGCTGAAGGTACCATCACACCAGCAAGATGCCTCCGGCAGCCCCACTCTCAGGCTCAGCTGCTCCTGTGTGCCATGCCCATATGGCAGCCAGGGAATCTTTTTACTGGGCCAGACGGACCATGTCACTCTGCTACTTGAAACCTTCCAAGACTTCCCACTGTCTTTGCGATGACCTGAGCTTTTGTTCCCTGCACATTCTGGCCTCTGCCAGACCTCATTTCCTGCTGCTTACCTGCCCTTGCCATCCTCAGCCCCACCACGCTCTCAGTCCCCAAATGTGGTGTTGCCACAGGGCCTTTGCACTTGCTGTTCTGACTAGAATAGTTGTCTAGATGCTTTTCTCCATTTCATCATGTGGCTAGAGCCTTTCCATCCTTCAGGTCTCTGCTCCAATGCCACCTGTTTGAGGAGGCCTTCTCGTACATTGGTAAGCATTTCCTCTCCCCACCCTCCCCAAAGGCTAGGTAAATACATTGTAGTATACGTGCACATATCTGATTCAAGGTAAATACCATCACTTTCTAAATCTCTCTGGTACTGATCCCTGTTCTCTTTCCCGGTCCCAGCCTTGGGACTCCCCACTGGGTCATCAGCCCTGCGAACAGATTAGCATTTAGGGCCTGCTCTACCAAGTGAGCAAACCACACCTGCTCTCTTGTGTTATAGAGCATTTGCCACACATGAGCCCTGGGCACTGTCACTATCCCCACATTAAGAGGAGGCACAGAGAGGTAGAGGGACTTGTCCCAGGTCACACAGCTGGGAGAAGCAAGGAGATGGTAACGTCTGGTTCCATGTCCCCTGCTTACCTTGCCTCCTTTACCACCAACCCAGTGTCACCTGGTGGTTGGATTCTGTCAACCATACTCGTGTCACAGCCTCCTGCTGCGCTCACTCTTCCTGGATGTGGGCTAGTGGGCTGTCCCCTCTTGCCTGCCCCACTTTGCTCAGACATCCTCCTTCTCTCCCTCCTCCTCCCCCTTCCCGAGCCTCTCACCCACTGGGCTGCTCCTCTTTACTACCACTGTCACCACCATCACCATTAATATTCACTTATGAGACAGGGTCTGGCTATATAGCCCAGGCTGGCCTTGAACCTGTGATCCTCCTGCCTCAGCCTCCTGAATGCTGGGATTACAGGTGTCAACCACTATGCCCAGCTAGGTCATTTCCTATTAACTCTATAAATGGAAAACCAGCCACAAAGAAGGCACTGTACAAGTACACGCACTGAAGATAAAGCTGTAACTCCTGTGGCTATCTGCTGCGTTATTCAGCAAGAGGGCTGGCGAGGAGCCAGGGTCACACCACAGGAACTGCTCTGAAGTCAGGGCCAGGGCCTGCTGAGGTGGGCATCACAGCACTGCATCTGGGGAACCTCACCTGGCCCAGCTGCTCGCAGGCTGTCTGGTACTCAGCTCGCTGACACAGGTCCTTCACGCGCTGATACTTGGGAAGGAAGTTCTCTTCTTGGGCATCCACCTTGTCACTGTCCCTCTTGTGGAGCAGTTTGCTGTGGGAGATGTGGGGCTGGCTGAGCTCGGAGGAGCCCAGAAGGCCCTGCCTTGACTCTGCTTCAGCCTCACTGAACCAGATGTGGATCCAGCTGCCCAGGGCACCTGGAGACTTAAGCAACAGGAATCTGCAAGCAGCCCTCCCAAGTGTGAGTTGACAATAAGTGGACAATGGAGACATTGTTTAGGCTGGACACATGCTGTCAAAAGGTGACACGGGGCCTCCGGGCATGAATTTTGTGTCACCCACATAGCAACTGTGTCTGGGGCTTTGGCCACAGTCTCCAGGTCACCATCAGGAGGTGTGGGGACAGCAGCATCCTCGCTCTTGCCCTCACCTGCCCGGACTTTAACAGCTCAATCTCGAGGGCGGCAGGAGCTGCCGGGCAGAGCCCCCCAGCCCCCAGACCACACTCACCCCCTTTCCACAAGGAAGGAATCTCGCCAGACACGCAGCTTCTTTTTCAGGTGAAACCTGGAAAATGAGTAGGCTCCATCTTCCCGCCTTCTGGACCTCTGTCCCTGTCCCCTCCACCCAGGCAGGGATGGTGCCCAGAGCCAGTCGAGGCCAGTTGGTCTGCCCCAGGCTGGTGCATGGAATGGCTCTTGGGGGTGCTGGAAGCCCGACAGCCTCCTCTGGGCAGAGCCATTTCTTCCCAAGACGTGAGTGTGAAGGCCCAGTCTTGGTGGAAAGTGCTTTAAGTCACACATGGACTGTTGTGCGTGTGTCCATCTGGACACCTTCCAGGAGCCTGGTGTGTTCTCGTCTGGCTCCAGCAGCAGGGGAGGGCTGCATTCAGGTTGTTCACACTGCAACTGATGACTTTTCCCTTTGTGAGTAGTGTGCATTTTCTGTAACGGGACCCTGTCTCTTCCATTTCGTAGATAGGCACACTGAGGCTGAGAGGACACAGCTACCCTGCACCCTGAACCCCCAGCCTCCCCCTCCCCATGTATGTCCACTTCATACCCTTTCAGCTCCCTCAACCTCGTAGCTGGAGGGAGGAGGCTAAGTGCATGTGGTCCCCTACAAGGCAGCCAGATACAGGCCGACAATGCCCCTCAGGGCTGGAAACTCCTGACACTGCTGAGGAAGGGCTCAGTGCAAGCCCAAGGTCAAAATGATTCCTGTGACTGGTGCATACTTTCAGCACTGGCCACCAGGGGTTGCTCCTGTCCTTTTTCCTATCCCTCTTTGACTGCCCCCCTGCCTGCTCACCTATTTTTTTTGTTCATTGTTGCTGTTCCTTTCTGTCTCCCAGGACAATTGCTCACTGTTGCTGTTCCCTTCTGCCTCCCAGGACACCTGTGAGCATGTTCCCATCACACCATCCACCATTAAAGTCACAGAGTATGGTGATGAAGACTGCATTCCTGGAGTTGCATCCTGACTTGTTGACATTTACCCAACTTTTCTGAGATTCAGATTCTCAGATGGTGAAATGGGGCTGTGATGCCTGCCTCGCTGGCTTACTGTGAGGACCAGAAAGACAGAGTCCCCTGCAAAGCACTTAGAACAAGGCCAGGCCCAGCCTGCACACTCATTAGTGTTACCCTGTGGCTATGCTGTTTGCATAATGGTAGCTCTGAAAGGGTCCTCATTTCCAGAGAGGAAGATGGACCCCTCGGGAGAAGCCATCTTTCTTTCCCGCATTAGGTCAGTGGTCAGCATGTGTGTGGGAGCCTAGAACCCCAGATCTGGTTCTGGGGGACCTCTGACCCACGTGGTTGGGCTCTGGGTTCACATAGGTCGGGAGTCCAGCAGCAACCCCAGCTGCCTGCTCCCCCCTCACCGATTCACAGGCCGCTCCGTGTCTAGCAGCTTGAGGATGGATTTTCCGTCCATGTCTGCAGGGATGTCCAGACCAGCGATATCCAGGATGGTGGGGGCCAGGTCGATGTTGAGGACGATGTGTGGGTTCCTGGGGACAGGGAGAGCAGCACATGGTTATCCGAATGGTAGTGCCTGGTCCTCACTAGGGAGAGGGGCAGCTGGACATGGAGGGGGCGATTGTGCCCCAGGACCCTCAACAGTTCCTGCTGTGGCCCCAATTCAGGCATCCCCTCCCTATGCTCACCCCCTTGTTCTCTATTCGGGCATGCTGCAGAGTGCAGCCCACCAGACAGAGGCTGCCTGCCTCAAGAGCCATCACAGACCCTGGGCCTCTGGGGCCAACACCAGCCCCACGTGGTTCTCACAGGCTGGAACAGACGGGCCCCTGAGTCTGAGCCTGTGTTCCTCCCTTCAGAATATTCTTCTTCCAGAGACCCACATAACACTGACCTCATCCTGGGCTTCTTTGCTCAGCTATTACTAAGGAGGCCTGTGACAGGCCCACGTGGCAGGGACCACCCTCCTGCATCACCTCTTAGGAATGGTCACTATGCGATCCACTCATGTGTGGCTTGACTCGCTCTAACCAGCCAGATGGCTGTCACTCTGGGGGCTGTGTGGCAGGTTGTTCATCTTGGTCTTGCTGGCATACCCGCCCTTGTCTCTTTCTCCCCATGTGGGCTGTGAAGCAGCAAGGTCACCACAGATGCAGTACAGCCTAGGGGCAGGCTATGGGGTTTTAGTCCTCAGATGAGACCCTGGCCTGCACAGAGGGCTTGTCTTGCTGCCCAGACTTTCCCTTTCAGTGAGGCAGTGCGTGTGCTGTTCCACCAGCTGTGCTTGTGGCATTTGTTCTGCAGCACAGACACTGGGCACAAGGCCTTCCTAAAGACTCTACTGAGAATATCTTTTATTGCCCACCTCCCACTTCTGTTCCCAATGTGGTGTAAGTGGCTTTAGGGGTGAGAACCTGCTGAGCGGATGATGGATGTGTTCCGTCCCTGTCCCATTCCCTGAGGGGGAAAGGCAGGCCCGGGCCCTTGAATTTTGGTCCTCTTTGACCCTCTGCCTCCCTAGCCCAGCACCAGGTGAGCCTCAGACAGGTGGCCAGGCATCCAGAGAATGGGGTGGGGGGCTGAAGCTGTGTTGGGAGGGGCTAGAAGACCAGTGTGGGGTGTGACAGCATCAGCAAGTGGGCGAGGGACTGGAGAAGATTGTGGAGGGAGGGAGGGAGGGGGCGAGGATGGTAGCCAGCAGCGGTGTGAGCTGAGCCCAGACCCTGGTCCTGCTGCCCAGGCTGAGTGGGACGAGAGCAGTGGCTTTTCCCAGCCACACGCCTGCTCTGTGCCAACAGCTCCCAATCCTGTTCTGTTCAGGCCCTACTGCCTGGCCTGGTCACCCATGGTTTTCTGTCAGCCCAGGCTCCAGTGTCTGGCTCAGGGATGGACACATGACCCCAGGCAGGCTGGTGAGAACCATCCTCAGGGCCTCTGTTCGAACCACTGTTTGGTTTCCTATGTTGGATGACTGAAAGCCTGGAGCCACCATGAGGAGAGAAAAGCTGGACTGAGGATGAAGCCAGTTTAGAGGAAGCAGGGCCGAGAGATGGAAAACAAGCTTCCTGATGCCATGATATGACTGCTGGATCCAGTTGTGCCTGAAGCCAGCCAGAGTTATCCTCAGTTACCTTTTCGTTACTTAAGTCACTGCATTGCCTTATCTGAAGGTCATTGCTGCTTGGAACCACAGGAGTCCTGTGTGACAGGTAAACAGCTTGTCTTCAGCACCAAGCCTGATGTTAGCATTCCTGTGTCCAGGTAGGGTGTACTTTTGGGTCCTATGAACTGGATCCTGAACCACAATGTCAGAGCTTGTACCTAGTGGGTCAAGTTCTTCCTGTTCACAGGGGCAGGTCAAGGTTTCTGAGAGGCATTCAGTGTGGGGGATGGAAACAAACACCACCTGGCTTTGTATCCCAGAACCTCCCCTTACTTGATGCGTGAATGCGGGCAACCTAACCTGTGTCTCTGTGTCCTCAGGTGTAAAATGGGGCCAAGAGCCCCTACCCCTCAGGGTTGTTGTGAAACTTAAACAAACCGTATGGCCAAGAGAGGCTACGACCAGAGCCTGAAGAGAAAGCATTATGTAAGACGGTCATTATCACAGCCATTACGATGGGATGCTGAGGTCCAGTGACAGAGGGGCTGGATGAGGTCACTGCTCTCTGGACTTGGACCTAACTCTCACAGCTTGCTGCCTTGAATGCTCTCCCATGTCCAAGATGATGGAGCACATCAGTCTGGAACTCTGCATGGCTCTGCCAATGCCCTCTCAGGATCCTGAACTGAACTGGGCACAAGCCAAGTGTGGTCTTATGTCTGGACACTGTGGATGTCAGAACGAATGGGAATCTCTGCCTCGATGGACCTGCCTCTCAAGACACCCATTCCTGCTGGTGTCTCTGGGGGTCCTTGGATGCTTCGAGGACACTGCTGACACAATCCTGGCCTTTCTTCAACCTTCCTTACCTCAGACAGCACTTTTACTCACCATTGTGTTGTCAAGGATTAAGCCATGGAGAAGGGCTGGCTGAGAGCATGGCCCCACTGGTAACTAGCTGCCCAGCTAAGTTCTGGGGCTCCTTCCTGATAGCCACCAGGCCAATGGCTGCCCAGCCTGGGGCAGAAATTGAAGCCCCCTTTCCATTCTGCAGACACACACCCCAACCCCAGAGTTTTCTGTCACAACCCCACCATAAACCACCTGTTTTTCAGGGGCTGCCAGCTCCTGGCTGCTCTGTCCTCCTCACAGGACTATGAGATGTGCGAGAACCCGCCCTGGGTGACATAATGGTCATTTCCATTGATGCTGAGGTTCACCTGTCAAAGTTGTGTGCCTGCCAGGAGGCTTAGGTTCCAGCTGCAGCTCTCATGCTGAGCTGAGCCTGGAGGCCTCCTCAGGAGCCTGGGCGTGCAAGGCACTTACAGAGAACCGGCCTCCACGTTGGGGCCCCGCACATAGAACGGGACCCTGATGTCGAATTCATACGGCATGGACTTCCCTTTCACCAGGCCAAACTGGCCGATGTGGTAGCCATGGTCGGCGGTGTAGACGATATAGGTGTTATCCAGCTCGCCTGTCTCCACCAGCATGTCATAAATCTGGAACACAGGACAGGAGGTGAGGCAAGACAGAAACCATGTGTCCTGCTCGCCGCTGACCCATGTGACAAGGTGCTGGAGGTCCCAGGCCCCCTGGCTGTTCCTGTTTCAGGACACCTCTCTGCGAGGCTCTTGGGATTGTCCTGTGAATGGCCGAAGCCCCTCCCCTCTGCCCTCAAAGGTGTCTCATCTCCCACCTTTCACTGATCTGTGAATTGCCATCTCCCTGCCTGGTGAGGGACACTTATCAGGCAGCACTTGTGTCACTTTGTGTCCTGCTTGCTGTAGCCACGTGGACCCTCAATAAATGCCATCAAATGAATGAATGGCAGAAGCTGATGTGGCCCGTGGCAGGAGTCTGTGACCTAGAACAGCGCTGTCCTGCAGAACGGTCTGTGATGACTGTGATGTGAGTCTGTACTGACCCACTCGGTGGCCGTGTGCTCGCAGGGCTACTGAGCTCGTGAACTGGGGCAGCTTTGACTGAGGGACTGAATTTAAATCTCACTGAATTTTAATTAATTTAAGCAACAGCCATGAATAAATAAGACGTGTGATGCATACCCTCGTACTGGACTATGATTCAGTCACACAAAGAAATGAGTTCTAACACCTGTCACACCACGGGAGGAAAACACTGTGCTCGGTGGAAAAATCCAGACGCAAAGCCACGCCAAGTGACTCTGCTTCTGCGAGGCATGTGGAATACCAAATCCATCCGGTCAGAAAGAGCGTGGTGGCTGCTGGGGGAGGGGCATGGTGTGCGAGGACGATTTGGGGGTGATGGCTAAGGACTAGTCAGTCTAAAACTGACTGTGGTGACGGTCACACAACTCTGAATATATTAAAACCATTGATTTGTACATTTAAAGCAAGTGGACCGTGTGCTGTATGAAGTATAGCTCAATAAAGCTGTTAAAATTATAAATGGCAAAAAAAAAAAAAAAAACCTGTAGTAACTAGCCACAGTGGCTCCTGTCCGGGCAGCACGATGCAGATCGTGACTTTCACACGGGCACAGGCTCCAAGCCACTTTCTAGGTGTAGACAGTCCTGGGCCCTCTGCCTTCTCTTTCCAGTCCTGTCCAGGGAAGGACTTCAGGAACAGCTGCAGGGCAGAGGCTTCCAGCCCAGGTGTGGCAGGTGGCTTCCAGGAAGCGGGTGTGCTGGGACGGGGGGCCTACCGTCTCCATGGAGTCGTCCACGGACATGAGCGTCTGCAGGCGCTTCCGCTGCAGCACGTTGGTGAACTCCATGTGGATGGGCTTCATGGGCCCCGTGTAACGCAGGATCCAGTGCTTGTCGGGGTTGGGTGCGTAGTTGTAGCTTGGCGTGCTGGCGGCAAACACAGGGCTGTCAGGTGGCAGGACGCCAGGCCCAGATCCCCTGACCCCCTGACCCCCCAGACCCCCCAGACCGCTCATGTTACAGGTACGTGCCTGTGGCCTACACTTGGAGGACGGTGCCCAACGGTTACTCTTCTACAATTGTGGGCTTTTAGTTGTTGTTTGGTTTTTGAGACCGTCTCACTATGTAGCCCAGGCTGGCCTTCCACTCTCCATTCTTCTGCCTCAGCATCCCGAGTGCTGGGATTCCAGGCAGGCGCTACCCTGCTGGCTCCCAGGTTTAGTGTCTCATTTATGGAAGAGGAAAGGGAGCATCAGAAGTGAGGGACCCGCCTGGGGTCTCACTGAGTGATGGAGCCTCTGGGTCTTCTGCTGTGTGGTCAGCTGTGGTTATTAATGACAAATGAACAAATACATGGTGTCCTTTACTGGGCAAAGGCTGCATGCTGGGTGCAGTTGGCAGCGCTCACCCCTGTCATCGCATAGCTGTTTTCCATCTTCCTGGTGAGGAAAGAGGGACAGAGGCCCAGGGAGGGGAACTAATGTGCTAAAGGCGACCTGGGACTCAAACCCCAGCAGCTGAGATGGCTGTCTCTGCCATCTTATTACCAACGCTTCCTGACTCCTGGAGCCTGTGTGGGCCCCTCCCTCGACTGTGGGTGCTCAGGTAGAGACACTCCCACTGAAGGACTGAGCAGCTCAAAGCCCAGGAAATCTTCTGTCATTCTGGTAATGTACTGCTCCATTCCAAACCAAGAGCTCCTCCTGGCACCTTAGGTCATGCAGGCCCAGGCAGTCGAGTGTCCACCCTCTGAGGACAAGCCCCAGTCGGCTTGGCCCCTTGTGTGGTAACTGGGTGTCAAGAGGGCAAGGGCCATGGGGAGGGAGGGTACGACAGTCCAGTTGGAGGGGCTGATCCTGTTCGCTGGCACCTGCCCCCCAGGTCTGGAACTCATAATGGCCTCAGATGGGAGTAATGTGGCCGGCCACACTTACTCAGAGGCCATTGCTATGTGCAGCGGGAGGCAGCTGCAGCCTGGGGCTCCTTCTGGATCTCGCTGGCTGATCCTTGGCCTCCTGCCGCTAAATCCTACCCAGCCCACTGTCCCCTTTTGGCTAGCTGGGGCCTGACCTGCATGTAGCACATTCCCAGGGACTGGGAATGAGTCTCCTCCCCTGGCCACCTCGCTGCCCAGGCGCTGAAGGGGCTGTGGTGGATGGGCAGAACCACTTAGCTCAGAACGGGGTCCGGGGGAGAGGGTGTTGTGTTTAGTGTCACCCCTAGACCCTGTCCAAGCCTGCTGGGGTCGCCCTTGGAGGGCGGTGGTCAGGAGCCCTCATAGGAAGTGCCTCATAGGACTTTCTATGAGGGACCCTTTGGGAGGACTGGGGGCCAGAAGCTTCAGCACTGGGTCCTTGGGGTGAGGGTGTGCACCCCGGCTGGCTGGTGGCCTGTGCCAGGCCAGGCTCCCTGGGGGTGCTGGCGCTTTTACAGGGCCACCGCTGCTGCTTGTTGAATGAAGGTGTAAAGCCCTTGCCCCACAGGCATCCGAGGATCCCCTGGGTGTCCCTGAAGGGCCTGGAGAATGTCCTCTCCCTGCTGGTGGGGGATAGGAGAGGTGACTGTCCCCATGGCCTCAGCCAGCTCAGCTCCTCGTGTGGTACATTTGAGAGCCTTCCACCTGTCACCCCAGGCTGTCAACCCAGCCCAGCTGTCCCTACAGGGGGTGGCGGAGAAGAAAGGCATGCTGGGAGCCCACACCATACCAGGCGCCTTACCTCGAGACGGCGTGTGTGTCCGTGCCTGTCTGCGCGTGTCTGTGCTTGCGTGCCTATGTGTTTCTGGTGTATGTCTGTTTATTTGTGTCTGAGTGTACCTGTGTCTGTGAGTCTGTGTGTCTGTGTACCTGTGTGTATGTGTCTGCATGTTTGTGGGTGTGTGTCTGTTGTCTGTGTATCCTTATGCGTCTGTGTCTTTGGTTGTGCGTATCTGTATTTGAGTGTCTGAAAGTGTGTATGTGTGTGTTTGCATGTGTGTGGCGTGGGATGGTAGAGGGATGACCGGGGACGTCATATCTCAATGGCATTTGCCACAGTCCACAAGGTCTGGCCTGGGGTAGGGACAAGGCAGGCTTGCTGTGATGAGTGATCCACTGGACACTCAGATAGAAAGACCTGGCACTCTGGCTGTCCACGCAAAGCTCTGTCCCCTCTTCTCTCCTCCAGTGTCCCAGCTACAGAGCCCCTGCTTTTTTGGTTTTGCTTTGGAAATGCCTAAGCCTCAGAAACCAGAGCCCCCAAGTCCCGTGGTGAGACGAGGGAGTCTGGATGAGCCATAGTGGGCACTGCCCGTTTTCAATTTTGTAAATTGAAAACAATAAATGAGCAGACATCACCTGACAACTGTACCATGAAACTGCGACTGCCCAGAGACACGGTGGCAGGGGAGGCTCCGGGGATGGGGCTGAGACTCAGTCAGCCACAAGCCCCTAGTGGGGAGGGGGAGACTGGGCCTGGGGTGGAGGGCAGGGGGCCCCAGAATGCAATTCACCATCTTCTGTCAAGTCCTGCTCCCAGAAGAGCAGGGGACAGAGGTTACCACACCACCTTATCTTCTCTGAGCTGTCAAAAAGTAATTACAGCAGGGGGCGAGGAGGGCAAAGTGACCCAGTGTAATCGAAGTTAAATATCCTGAGCCAAACTGCCCTGTCCTTGTCCTCTCACGGAATGTCACAGTGAGGACTGCTGAGTATCACTGCTCAGTGGGGGGTGGTTTGAGGCACAGAAAGAACAACATTCTAGAAAGATGTGCCAGTCAGGCGGACTGGAGGGGTGGGCAGACAAATAGGAAGCAGGAGTGGCGGCTAGAGGAGGTTGTGGTGGGGACACTCCTGCAGTCCCACATAGCTGCAGCTGGGCAAGCCCGAGTCAAGTTTCAGAAAGTGACAGCCTCTGGGATTGGGGATTTAGCCCAGTGGAAGAGCACTTGCCTAGCAAGTGCAAGGCCCTGAGTTCGGTCCCCAGCACTGAAAAAAGCAAAACAGAAAACGACAGCCTCACCTGCCATTGTTGGTTTTTGTTTTTTTTTTTTGTTTTGTTTTTTTTTTTTGGTGGGACTAGGGTTAAACTCAGGGCCTCTTTCTAGGCAGCCGCTCTACCACTTGAGCCACGCTCTGCCAGCCGTTTTTTCAAGATAGGGTCTCATGAACTATTTGCCTGCACTGGCTTTGAACCTACGACCTGATCTCTACCTCCCGAGTAGCTAGGATTACAGGTGTGAGCCACCAGTGCCTGGCTCCCTGCTGCCATCTTGAAGCAGCCTCAGGTGACCCTGGGCCAGAGCCTCTGAAATAGACTTAGAGGCTCTCTTCCACTTTAAACCTCGGAGTCATTTGTGACACAGCAGCAGAGGACTGACATCCCTGGGGTCCCTGTGAGTCTTAGAGACGTGTCATTGTGTGGTAGGGCTTGGCACACAGCCCGCTACACTTGGTAGCTGGTAAACCTATGCACCTTTCTCAGAACAACAGGTTTAAACGTAGGAAGAAAAACACATGGGACCACAAAGGAAACCCCACACCTGCCAATCACCCACTGGCCTGGGATCCCAGCCCAAGATCCGCCCTCTATTCTGGGCTGTTCCAGGCTGTACTGGCACCACCACTGACTGGCAGCGTGCTCTTGGGTTCTTCAAAACCTGGAGGATTTGGGAGAGGGCGCAGTCATGTCACCCTCATTGGTCTACTGTCACTAAGACCCAACTCCCCCCATGCTAACTATGGCTCTGCCAGGCGGCAGCTGCAGCTTACATGTGCTGGGACGCGTTGGGAAAGAGGCGTGAGTACTGAGGGGCTGAGTCCTCGGGGCCGTGGGGGGCCGCATGGCTGATGACCATGAGGACGGGCCTGTGCGGGTACATCTTCTTGGATGTGCGGAAGAAACTCACACTGTCGTTGGTAATGAGGTCTGTGAGGTAGTCCTGGTGGGAGACAGGAGAAGGGTGAGGAGCTGTGCCAGGCACTGGGGACACAGCAGGCAGCAAACGGAACTGACAATCCCTTGTCCTTAAGGAGCTGTCGGTCAAGGGCAGGCAATAAACAAACAATTACAATACAGAGAATGGTGCTAGGTTCAGCGGAGGAAAACAAAGCAGAGAAGAGGTAGAGAGCAAGGGAGTGCAATTTTTCATTCCCTCATGACAGATATCGAAAGAAAAATGGCGAACGCGGATGGGTGCTTATCGCGTGGCAAGGGCTGTTCTGTGTTCACTTGCATTAGTTCATTTAAGTCTTACGTAGTCATAGGAAGTAGGTATGATGACAGTTCTATTTTTTACTACAGGAAATGAAGGCGCAGAGAATTGAAGTGAGTTGTCCAATGTCACACAGCCAGGACCCCTGAAATTTGGTCCCTAAGTGTGAGGTCTTTTCAAGAGTCTGGTACTGCAGGTGGGTATATCCCTGCATCTCTGGAGTGTTTATGCTGTGGGAAGGAGAAGCAAACACGTCTGCAAAGAACCAGGATCATGATAAGGTGTGATGGATGAAGGAAAGAAGACAGGAGATAGAAGGAAGAGTAACTGGGAGCTGGTGCAGGGCACATAGTTCAGCTGCAGCAGTCTGGGGGGGCCTCTCCGAGGAGGTGGTGTTTTAGTTGAGACCTGAGTAATGAGAAGAAGCTGGGCGTGGGAATGTCTATACCCCAGACTTCAGGCTCAGCTGCCTGCTGGAATCCCTTGGGGGGCTTTCCTGATGGCTGAGCCCACTCGGATGTGATTGGCTTGTGGTTTAGTCCCAGTATCAGGCTTTTAAAAGCTCCCCAGAGGACTCTAGAGGACAGTCAGAGCAGAGAACTGATGATGGGGGGTTCCAGGCAGAAGGAACAGCACTTGCAAGGCCCTAGAAGTGTGAAAGGGCTTGCCATGTGTTCTAGGCACAGAAAAGAAGGCAGGGAAACAGCACAAAGGTTTTCAGCAGTGTCCCCAGAAAACTGAGAAGCCAGCTTATAGATGGGGCAGGAGAAGAGATGGAGGAAAAGAAAATGGCAGAAATTTGGGGGCTTTAAAAGCTCAGCTAAGAGATTTGCTGAAACCCTTCTGAAACTTAGTAAATCTTCAGCCACTAATTCCTCTTGAAGGCACTGAGATCCGCTTCCTAGAAAAAGAAGCTGTGTCCCAAGATACAACTTTCAAAAAGAGGTATTATTTTAGAGGAAAAAAAGGTGAAGAAGGGACTATGATGTCCATCGTAAAGTAACGTGTACAACATATGGACCTGGGACGATGTCACCACACACCCAAGACGTGCTCCTCCGGGTGTGCTCACTCAGGCACTCACTCTGCAAGCCCGAGGACGGTCACTGCAATATTGCTCATGAAGCGAAAGCACACTGCAGTGACCAGTGGCAGGAGCGCAGTCAGCCAACTCACGTCTCTGTCATACTGTGCAACGCAGCTCGCCCATCGAAGGAGGCAGGTCTGTGGTCCCGATGCACCGTACGGGACACAGCAAGCGACAGGCCCAAATGTGGGAAGCAGGGTGGAGAGAAATCAAACATTTAATCTCAGTCTTGAAAACCAAAGAAAACTCTAGAAGGTTCAATATAAAGTGCTAACTGAGGACTAGGAAAAGGGAAGAGAGGACCAGAAAGTCACTTGCTGCTTGGCATACTTTCCCCTGAATGCTTTTTATGGATCAATCTTGAGAAGAAAAGTTTTTTTTTCTTTAATAAGCTTTTAGCAAGGACTTATTTTAGTATAACGGGATCGAGGAAGGAGAAATGGGAAAAAAGGGAGGAACATTTCCTGTTCCTCAAACATGGAGGCTCTGGTTTGCAGTCTTTATTCTCTCTGACTGGGTACACCCTAACCCTTAGACATGGTTTTTGGGTGGGTAAGAAGGGGTGCTGGTTATTATTCCAAAACACAGAGATACCATATAGATCTACCCAAAACACAGGGACAATAGGTGACCTTTAGGACTAAATTTATTTATTTATTTTAAGAGGGCTTTGCTTTGTAGCCAAGGCTAGCGTAGAATCACCACGTAGCCCAGGCTGGCATTGAACTTCAGATCCTCCTCCCTACGCCTCTTGAAACAGACTTAAAAAGGGGCTGTGTTGCACCTATCCTATAAAATAATATATTACATAAATCAGAGAGCTGCTGCCAGAGTTCTGGGTCAAGGTCTCAGAAAGTTCTGAAGATAAAGGTAACTAATAGTAACTAAAGGTACTCTCATAAAGGTAACTAACAGCAAAGTGGGAACAGTGTGAGCTCCCGGGGTGAAGAGGAGGGTCAGCGCCCTGCCGGGTGACCACCAGTGCCCGCAAGGGGACATGTCAGGAAGTGCAGGAGAATGTGCAGGAGCCACCAGCTGGAACTTGCTGCCTCCTGCAGGTGGGATGGGGTGGGAAGAGGCTTGTCACTCCTCATAATAAACCTATGTTCACTGTCTGGTTTTAGAGCTGGATGTCTGGGGGTTAGTAAGCAGTTTTAATCCATTAGCCGCTACGCCCAGGAGGATATATAACGGAATTCTACAGCAGTGACAAAGAATAAACTAGAGCTGCACAGATCACTGTGGATCAAATGTGGCCAAGTCTTACAACATGGGGCACGTCTTACCCTGTTACGGTGGGAGGGAAAGCTAGGTGATGCAGGCTGCCTTCGATCCAGCAGCACTTACATAAGTAAGAACACACAATATCGCACTTTTGAGATAACTTCCCATGGGATGAAGAGAAAGGCACGTGTGGAACAGTGTGCAGGGATTTCCAGACACTGTTACCCCCAGGAGAGGAGGCAGGGCGGGAGGAGCGAGGCCCAGGGGAGGCAGTCAACTCCTACAGGCTCTGTGTCGGTTTACGCCTAACCCTTGCTGGATTACTCACTGCACCCGCCCCTCTGGGCTGCCTGAGCGTTTAAAGTGCTAATAGATGTTACGCTCTTGCTCCAGTGCCCTGCACACAGCCGGCTCTTGATAAGATTAAGCTAGTAATTATGACTGCCCAGCAGCCTGGCAGGTTTTCTGTAAGTGTAAGAGCTACTCTCTATCTGTCCCTGTCAAAAGTCTCTCTGTTCTAAGACTTCCCTGATCTCTGCTGCGCCCCAGGAATCTGTGATGACACCTGACTTTCTTACAGCTCCCTCCCTCCATCCCTGTGCACCAGGAGGGGACTCTACCCCAAATCACCACGGGTGGTTAGCCACGGGCTGACCAATAAGAACCAACCATCCCTCCTGCCACGGTACTGGAGCCAAGTTGAGGTGACAGAGTGAAGGACACGAGGGGACCTGGGCCAGGGTGCTGGGGGCAGTGTGCAGCACATTTGGGAGACAGTGAGGGACACAGGTAGGACCTGGTCATTGGCAGGACTGTGGGTGCAGGAGTGGGTTACAGCTTTCTGCACCTGCTGGCTTCTGGTTTGGGCAATTGCAAGACCCTATATCAAAAATACTCAACACGACACAGGGCTGGTGCAGTGGCTCAGGTGGTAGAATGCCTGCCTAGCAAGCATGAGGCCCTGAGTTCAAACCCCAGTGCTACCAAAAAAAAAAAATTGTGATTCAAAACAAACCAGGAGCTGTACCCTTTTAAAAAACGTTGACGTGTGCAGTGTGGTACCGTCATGTCTATGCACAACGTTAGGCAGCAGGTTCCCCGATCCTGTCATCTTGGAGTTGCAGGCAACTGGAGCTTCACACCTGCGGAGCAGGTGCTCGCTTCCCCTGCAGCCGCCATTCTCCTTCCTGCACGGGGGATCTGACTCCTTCAGATCCTCTGGTAAGCGAGCGCTTTGTGCACTTGGCTTATTTCACGAACCACAGTGACTCAAGGTCACACAGGTAGAAGCAAGTGATAACCAACACTTGCTTCTTTCAGGAGGCTGAATGAAGCCTCGTGAAACTATTCGAAGGATGAAAACCACTCTTGGGCTGGGGATGGAGTGTGCGTGAGGCCCCTGCACGACAAAAACCAATAAATAAAACCCATTCTTAGCTCATGGTTCCACACAAAGAGTGGCAGGCTGGACTTGCTTGCTCCCTGGCCTGAAGATTACAGCAGGACTTTGAAGCCAGATGCCTGGATTCGAACCCTGACTTTATGACACTAGCTGTGTCATGGGTGGCCTGGTTAAGTTACTTAGCCTTTCTGTGCCTCAATTTTCTCCTGTGCCAGTTGGGAACAGCAACAGTGCAAGCCTCACAGGTTGTGGCGAGAAGTGCTAGTTGGTGTAAAATGTTCAGGCAGTAGCTAATATCTGAACCAGCCACATGGGCAGTGAGGTGTGCCTCAGTCGTTCTTCCTGAAGCCTTCGCTTGCCCCGTGAGTTAGGAGGGGCGAGCAACACTGAACTGAAGGGCTGTTTTGTTTTGAGAGAGGTTCTTCCTATGCAGCCCAGGCTGGCCTTGAACTCACAATCCTCCTGCCTCAGCCGCCTGAGTGCTGGGATTACAGCAGGCCACTGTCGTCCACATTGCGATGAAGCCAGTAGGCCCTTGCCACTGTGGTGCCATGCCATTTGGACTATTCAGAATCCTGAACTAAACACACTTCTTTTCCCCTTTTTAAAAAATTAAATGACGTTGTGCCATTTTTATTTGTGTATAGTTGAACAAACTTGTCATTGCAATAAAAGAGAAAATTTCCCAAATGAGAAATGTACAGAAAGAAATCAGCACACACGTGTTCCATTTACATGGCTTTATACCTAGATCAACCTATGCAGGAGACCCTCACCGCTGAGGAAACACTGGGACCTCTTTTCTTTATGAAGTGCCCAGGGTCAGGTACTGTGTGATGGCAACACAGAATAGGCTAAGCTCCCAGGTTCAGGCCCAGGGGCCGGGGCTTGCCGGCCCTGCCTTGGCTAGAAACTCCAAGCTCAATGGCACTCCTGGGATTTGCACTCTGGACCTGAGCCAGTTCTGCTTCTGGAGTCTCCACCATGCCCCTGTTCCCAGGCCCCATGCATCTGTGCCCCCATCACGGGGGCTCTTGCCATCCTTGTGTGCACAAATGGGCAAAACAGCAGATGCTCTGTCCCACCCCAGCCCCGAGAGGACCCAGAGGATCCTGGGTAACTTGATTACCAGGCTGCTCTGAGATGGGGCATGGACATCGGGAAGAATTTTAAGTTGGAGGGAGTAGATGGCGTTATGGTTGTTTTTTTTTCCCTGGTGGGACTGGGATTTGAACTCAGGGCTATGGACTTGCAAAGCAGGTGCTCTACCACACCTCCAGTCCATTTTGCTTTGGTATTTTGAAGCCGGGGTCTCATGAACTATTTTGAGCCAGGATCCTCTCCATCTCAGCCCCTCAAGTAGTTAGGATTACAGGCGTGAGCCACCAGCACCTAACACACAATAGCACCAGGGTACTGGAGTCCCAGCATTACCACATTTGAATTGGTGGTACTGGGACTTGAACTCAGGGCCTCATGCTTGCTATGCAAGTATTCTAGCATTTGAGCCACGCTCAGAGGGAGTGAACGTTCTGGGATATCAGGAGAATTTGCCCGTGGTGAGGCTGGGACGAGGCTAACAGGATGCTCAGTCCTAAAAGAATGTACTTTCTATTTCCAAGGAGGCCTGCAGGATGGCTCGATTCCCTCACCGGGACTCTGGGATTGATCACTCAGGAGGTAACGCAGGCCTACTGTGTGCAGGGTGAGAGCTGGGTGTGGGGAGCGGGTGCTGCACAGGTGACATCATGTGTTTTCTGCCCCAGACCCTGGACGGGACCAACCCACACCCGGGAAGGCGATCCATCAGCCCCGATTGCTATCAAAGCAGGAGGGACCCCAGATGCACTGGGACTTCTGGGGGCGTGGGGGGATGGAAGGGCGGGCTCTCTGACAGTTAAGCACTTATTCCAGTGCAAACTTCACTTTCCCTAGGGGTCTATTCTCAGCCCATGTTCCAGGGGACAGCTCTGTGACCCTTCCTCTGGCTCAGGAGCACAATGACCTTCAGCTTGTGGAAAGAATGCACCTCCTGCCCCGGGCACACTGACTGGCTCAGCCAGAGACCTGTGACTGATCCAGAGCCAATGAGAAGCAGTGAGACCTGCAGGGACTCCTGGGAAAGACTCCCATGCTTGCTGTTGGTCAGGGAGCTGAAGATTCAAGGATGGCAGTATTTCTAGGAGGAGAGTCTGTGAGTGGGGTTGAAGGGAGGAAGAAAATGGCAGAGAGTAGAGAGAAATGACTTCCCAGGAGCTCATTTGAGCCCTGTACCCAGACATGCCCAGGGCCACTACTGCTGGATTTTCAGTCCAGGAGGCTACTACGTTTCTTCTTGAACCATTTCAAGCTGAATTCCTGTTTACAAATAGAGTCTGGTGTGGTTGGAAAGGCAGCCCCTGTAGGCCGGACAGGCTCAGAAGACTTCCCGGAAGAGGAGTGAGACGGGACGTGTGCAGGACAGGACAGCACTTGCAAAGGTTTTGGGACGGTTGGTCACAGAGGGCGTGCCCTTGAAGGAGATATTCAGACTCCCGCTCCTTGCTTTTTGCTTTTTTGGCTGCCATGAGGTCTGTTTTGCCTGAGGCTCAAAGCAGCAGGAGCACATGGCCGTGACTGAACCCTCTGAAGCCAGAAGCCAAAATAAGCCTTCCCTTAGAAAGCAGATTAGCCTAGGTTTTTCTGTCACAGTGCCACGGACCACAATCGTTCATTTCCACCTCACGTAGGCTGCCTTGCACTCCAGTGGCCGCCCGAGAGGCTGCAAGAGACTGTGTGGCTTGTCGATTCCTACCTACGACCAGAAACCCCTTGCTGCCCTGGTCTAAGCGTCTGTCACTCTCCATGTGGCAACTCACCGGACCCCAGAGATGGTTGTAAAACCACAGTAAGATGCAGCAAGTGCTGACAAAGAACATGGGGCAAACGGAAGCCCTGTGTTTCTGGTTGGCAGCTGAGCTGGCTTGGCCACTTCACACAGACTGTGTCCCAGTCAGTCACTTCAAATGGATCATGGAAAGAAATGGGGGCAAATATCCACCAAAAGTCACGGGCCAGGATGTTCCCAGCCACTGGACCCATCATAGATTCCAACTGGAGATGACAAAACGCCCACCCGGGGTTGAACGGATGCACCCCGGGCTGTGTGTTTACACAACAGCATGTCACACAGCAGGAAGGACAAACTGCAGAAAAGGAACCATAGCACAGTGACGTGGATGCATTCACGGACATCGAGCTGGGCAGGAAAGGCAGACAGGAGAAGCACACGCCATGTGGCTTCTGTCCTGTGTGGCTCTGTGTCAGGCAAGACATGGTGGGCGAAGTCATGGTGGGGACTGGGACTGGACAGGGGTCCACAGAGCCTTTTGGGGCTGGGAACGTCCCAGGTCTTGGTCAGGGGAGTGTTGGGACAGATGCACACAGGTTCGAAGGTTCACCAAACTGTCCCCAAGACCTGTGCCCCTGCCTCCTGTTGGCCACACTGAAGTGGAAATGGACTGACAGCTGGGGAAGCACTACCCACACCTAGGCAGCACCCACCTGCCCACCGGGAGCACCCACGCCCAGGGGAGGGCACAGCTTACCTTGGAGTAGTCAAAGCCGTGTTTCTCCTTCACCCCGTTCCGGCAGAGTGTGTAGTTGTAAAAGCGGGAGTTTTTAAGGAGCCCGACCCACTCCTTCCAGCCAGGCGGCACATATGAGCCGTTGTACTCATTGAGGTACTTCCCGAAGAAAGCTGGAGGGGGACAAAACCAGGAGGCCACATGAGAAAGCTGACAGCAAGGCTTTCTTGGCATCGCCCACAGCCTGAAAGCAACACCTGGCCCTGCCACAGAGCTCTGGAGCCAGGTGGCAGAGCCCTCGCAGCTCTTATGGGCATGAGATAAACGATCACGGGGAAAATCAAACTATTCTGAATACAGCTGTTGAAATAATACAGTAACGTACTTTAAAATTAATATATTAAAATGAGACCTCACAGAGAGTAATTTCAAAGTAGTAATGAGTGATAAAGTTTGAATTTGCCATATCTGTGACAACTGTAATGGGACATTAGAATTCTGGACTTCTGCTGTGGCTGTGGCTTATGGTCAGAATTAGAACAGAACCTAGTTTCAGTTGTAGGTTAGTGAAAAATTGTGGTAATTTTTTCCCATCCAGATTCATAGATGCTGTGATTTCTACATAGTACACAGTGACCAGAATGGCTAACAGAAAAACTGATCATGCCAAGTGTTGGTGGGGACAGGGAGCAACTGGAACCCATGCACGCTTCTGGAGCAGGTGCACACTGGTCCCACGCTCTGCAATCTCTGGCAGTGCCTGCTAAACTTGTTCAAGTGACGTCTGACACAGCGATTTGAATCTTGGGTATTTACCCAACAGAAAATAAAGTCACACGTGACGTGCTCACGGCATCACTTTCACAGCAGCAGGTAACTTGAATCAAATCAAGTGCTCGTCAACCAAAGAATGGGAAGATGAAATTCCTGCATGTTTATACCACGGAAAACTATGCAGCTGTGAGAAAGACCTAGTGCCACACTGACGAACACAGATGCGGGGTTAGGGGAGCAGGATGGAGGGATGAACTTGTTCATAGGCCACAGTCGCATCTGTGGAATTCTGACAAACCACACTGTACCGTTAATGTATGCTAATAAAACAGTAAGAAAAATAGAACACAAATACAGCAGGCATAAGCATAGGCTGTATCATCCTATTTCCATGAAATCCAAAAAACATGCAAATGTATGGTCTGCATGTGTTTCAGGCTGGATGCAGGGAGAGGGGAGAGGGAGGGGCTAGGGGCTTCTGGGTGAAGCCCTTCTTCTGTTTCTTGTTGGAACGCTGCGGTCCCATTGTGAAACCTTGCTGAGCTGGACACCTGGGGGCAGTAAACTTATCTGTGTACTTTGTGTCCACAAATGCCTCCCTCCTCTACTTCACCAGGAAGGAACGTACCTAAAATCTCTTTGTGGGGACAAGGGGACACACAGGTGGTCCTACTGATGCTTTTCTGTTCATTTATCACAGATCAAGGACACTTTTAATAATTACAACATATAAAGCATTTTTTTTTAGGCAGTACTGGAGTTTGAACTCATAGTCTCTTGCTTGCTAGGTGGGCACTCTACAACTAGAGTCAAGTCCCCAGCCCTTTATTCTTTAGTTATTTTTTTAGACAGGGTCTTATGTTTTTGCTGGGGCCAGCCTGGACTGTGATTTTTCTATTTAAGGGTAGCAGGGATAACAGGTCCTTGCCACTGTACCCTGCATTATTGATTGAGATGTGGTCTTGCTAACTTTTTGCTGTTAGCCCCTGGGCTGGCTTTGAACAGTGATCTTCCTAATCTCTACCTCCCAAATAGTCGGGCTTATAGATGTGAGTCATTGTGCCCAGCCTACAAAAACATTTTTTTTTTTTTTGGTAGAATTGGAGTTTGAACTCAGGACTTTGCTTGCAAAGCAGGCGCTCTACCACTTGAGCATCTGCAGTCCATTTTCTCTGTTATTTGAAATGGGGTTTCTCAAACTATCTGCACAGGCTGGTCTTGAACTGTGATCCTCCCAATCTCAGTCTCCCAAATAGAAGGATCATAGATGTAAGCACCGGCTTACAAAGCCATTTTTAAGAAAAGGGAGCATTTGTGAGTGTTCTCCCAGTGACAGTGGTCCTATTCCAGCCCTCCCTTTCCTGACAAGGACACTGGGGACCCAAGTCACTCCACAGTGACACTGAGAGTACGAGGCTTTGTGTCCATGGTGGCTGTGTCTTGTGACCAGGGAGGCTCAGTGGATATCAGTGCAGACCCCAAGATGACAAGCAGGAAGCAGAAGGTGATGTATGTAGAGGGAGAGGAGAAGTGGAGGCTGGGTGTTGTTGGGCCCAGAGCACAGTGTGACTCCTCTACCTAGGACCTTTAAGAACACAAAGGGAGCTAGGGCAGCCTGCTGGCTGTGACAGAGTGGGATCTTCTGCTGGGATTTCCCGGAGACCTGGCAGATGGCTGGTGGTGCCCAGGAGTGGAGGACCCTTTGGGAGCACCAGCCAGGGTGCAATGCAAAGGGAGCTTCCCCTGAAGGCTTGGCAGAGCTCCTGAGGGAGGCGTGTGGGAAGGATCTGAGCTCCAGGGGGAGGTGAACACAGGGAGGGTCCCCCAGCAAGGAGCGTCCCTTTCGTGGGAGGGCAGAGCAGAGTGAATGGAGAGATCCCCACATTTGGAGGGGTGGGATAGCGGCACCATCTGAGTCCAGTTTTTAGAGCGAGATGTAATTAGGTGGTGGGGGCCTCATTAGACAGCGACTTAGTGTCTCTGGCTGGGTGTCAGGAGTAACTGGTGAGACCCGCTGGCACAGGAGGGCTATGAGCCAGCATAGGCCAGCCTTTTCTTCCTCTGGGGCACAGCACACATCCTGGTCACAACACCCCGCTGCATCCAGTCCATATGTCCCATGCTCAGCTGGGCTGACTCAGCCCCAGGAGACAATGTCTAGAGGGAGACAGCCCTGGTCATCTGGGGGCTGCTGGAAACCAGTGGCAATGCTAACTATTCTCTAATGCGTAGGGCAGCCCCTCATCACAAAGACCTGACCAGAACAAAAAGTCAGTGGTGCTGCTGGGTGGAGAGACCCTGACCTTACTTAACAACTCCATCCATCACCCAGGCCTCTGGCGTCTCTCCTCTCAGGTCTTCAGAACCATATTATAGGAGCTGAGAAGGGCCCTAGAGCTGGAGCTTGGCTCGGGAAACAAGATCTAACGAACTCCATGACCTCCCCCCCCCCCCCCCCCCCCGTTCCTGCCTCTGCCCTCTCCTCCTCTACGCAGTGGACCTGAGGTAAAGGCCTAGATCATACATGCTCAGGCTTCCCAAGCCAGGTGGTCCTGTGGCAACTGCCCAACTCTGTCCTTGAGGAAAACAGCAAGCAAATGGGTGGGGCTTGTCCCAATAAAACTTTATTTACAAAAGCAGATGGGCTGCAGTTTGCTGACCCCAGGCTAGATGACTGCTGGGTTTGGAGGGACAAACTGGGCACCCAGGGCCCACCTTCCCTTGGGGTGTGATGCCACAGGGAACGTTGGCCTCGAGGCTGGCTCTCCCTGGATGGAAGAGACGTGGGCCTGCTTTAGCTGAGTTCCAACTCTGGAGTCTGGTCAGGGGCCCAAATGTCCTCAAGAGGCCGTGCCCTCAGGTCCCACCTTCAGCAGACCCACTGATATAAAATGCCACATTGGCATCCACCTGCCCACTCTGAAACTTTATCTCTCCCTTGGCTCAGAACCTCACCAACCAGGGTAAAATGTAACAAAACCCAACATTTTTGGTTTATGGCAATGTAAGTGGTGAAGGAAAAGATTCTCTCTGAAAAAAAGTGAAGTCAAAAGAGAAAGAAAAATATTAAGTAAATAGCAGCATCAGCTTACCAAAGTGCAGTAAAAAAATCACAATGACAGCAAAGAAATTGCTGAATTGGGGGTACCATGGCACAGGGCATGTATGGTTTCAGAAATTCAGTCAACAGTGGGTGGCACATACAGTGGGGTCTGCCATACAGCCTAGGTGCCTAGTGGGTGACTCTGTCTACTGGGAAAGACGGGGCTGAGCAGCGTTTGTCACAAAGAACCCCGTTGTTAAGAACTCAGACTGCACCGCTCAACACCTATGGCACTGCAGGTGCTGTGCTGGGTGCTGGAAACACACGGTGGGCAAGACCACAAGGGGCCCTGTTCTCCTGGGCTGCTCCAGTAAGGGACGGTGATGACAGTAGGGCATCTGAGGAATCCGAGTCGGACAGAGAGGGAGGGAGGAGGTGCCACCACAGGGCAGAGGGCTGGATTGGATCCTGCGGGGCCCTGGAGGCCACAGGGAGAAGCCACCTTTGGCTTCCACATTTGGGGTCCACATGTGGCCCAGAATGCCACCTGCTGGAGTTTACATTTCATGTGTTTTCCTGGAAACAGGCGCACAGTTTCTCACACATTCTGAAAAGGATCTGACAGTCATTTTGGAAGCACAAATTTCACCCCTTCAGTTTGCAGGAGAAAGTTTGCAGTGAATCCCTTGGGGGCACTGGGTTCTCTTGCCTGTCTTCCGAGTCCCTGGCTAGGACTCCTAGTGGTTTGTCTCCGAAGATCTGGGCCAAGGTCTTTGTGAGGGACATGTCGCCTGGCATGCTAACGAGGAGTGGCACTTCTTGGTGGGGTTAGCTGGATCTGCGTTCCCTGGGCGTGGGTGTGCAGGGTTCCTTCTGCCTTAGGAAGCCCACTGTCGTCCTAGTCTGTGGATGTCAGCATCGCGAGCTACTTCCTCCGTACATCTCCTCTCTCTTCTCCAGCCCCCAGCCCTTCAGACCCAGAAAGAGTTTATTATTCAGGCTTCACCAGCCCTAGCAAACAGGGCTTCAGTCAGAGGCTTTTAGTGCCAAATTAGATTTTGCTCTCATTTGATTCGATCTCCCCAAGGCAGTTTTTAAAACGGTTATTCGGGCACTGGTAGAGGCAGGAGAAGCAAATGAGCGTGGGCCCCAGGGCCGGGAGACACAGCCAAGAGAACGAGCTGGAATCAAGACCGAGATTAAAAGCACAGCCCGAGTCGTGCAGGAGCCGGGCTTGCGTGCACTCGCGGAACGGGGGTGGCCGGGACGGTGGAGCGACTTGGCGGCAGACGAAGAGGACTGTGCCAGGCCAGGAAAGGCCATTGACGATGTGCTGGCGGACGCTGTCCCCAGGAA